ATATTTTTTCTAATCGATTAATACGTAATTAACTCTTGAGGATGATTTCTGGGAGGGATTTTATTATCTCACACTCATCTTCTATTTTTCTTTTGCGGTTTCGGATTATATTATTTTTATTTTAAAAGCATGCTTTCACAACCTTTGTCTCTCAGTTCCTAGACACATCAAGCAGTGGAAACTTTCAAATTTTTTTTCAATACTGAGAAAAATTTTGCATTGTCTTTAATGCTATTTATTTTTATTCATTTCTTATTACTATCTAACAGATTTTATAAACCAAATCTCTTTTCTAATCGATCAATACGTAATTAACTCTTGAGGATGATTTCTGGGAGGGACTTTATTATCTCACACTCATCTTCTATTTTCCCTTTGCTGTTTTGGATTATATTATTTTTATTTATTTATTTTAAAAGTATGCTTTCACATTCTTTGTCTTAGTTCCTAATTGCAGCTGCTTGACACATCAAGCACTGGAAACGTTCACAGTTTTTTTCAATATTGAGAAAAATTTTGCATTGTTTTTAATGCTGAAACTTTTTTGCATTGTTTTTAATGCTATTTACTTTTATTCATTTCTTATTACTGTCTAATATATTTTATAAACCAAATCTCTTTTCTAATCGATTAATACGTAATTAACTCTTGATGATAATTTCTGGGAGGGATTTTATTATCTCACACTCATCTTCTATTTTCCTAACAGCTCTTTTGCGGTTTCAGATTTATATTATTTTTATTTATTTATTTTAAAAGTATGCTTTTACAACCTTTGTCTCTCAGTTCCTAATTGCAGCTGCTTGACACATCAAGCACTGAAAACTTTCAATTTTTTTTCTTCAATACTGAGAAAAATTTTGCATTGTTTTTAATGCTGAAACTTTTTTGCACTGTTTTTAATGCTATTTATTTTTATTCATTTCTTATTACTATCTAATAGATTTTATAAACCATATCTCTTTTCAAATCAATTAATACGTAATTAACTCTTGAGGAAGACTTTTGGAAGGGATTTTAACAATGATATAATTCATATGGATATAATTTCACAAAAACAATTGTTTATTCTGTTAAATTTGACTAATCTAAAGCACTTGCACAGTTGCAGAACACAGAGAGTCATTTACTATACCATAGGTCATTTATGAAGTAAGAATTATTTAAAAAATTTAAGATCAATAGATTAATTCTAGATTATTTAAGAATCATGACATTTAAATTTTACTTTTTCATCCAGCTGAAGCAATTTATTTGATTAGTGCCCAACAAGAAGCCATAAGAGAGTTTTCTTAAAGTTTCAAATCTAAGCTTACCTATAGTTTGTCGACGGTAAGAGCTCCCTCCGCCACAAAGTCTGAGGCCGTCTGCTGAATGGGAACAAGATGGAAACAAGAATAGCACATTTCAGGGATGGTAACTTCTTCTCACTCTGGGGCTAACAAAATAGACTGAAGAAAAAGACTCCCTTTCTCTCACCGACTCGAGCCAAAACTTTTCCTAAACAGTGACCACACACACCTCTATTTAGAATAGTTAAACCTTGTTACCATAGTCACCGCCACTGGTCCAGTCGAATGGCTAGGGGAGTTCTTACTTTAGACAAACTAGAATACAATATTTGTCCCATCAGACAAGAAATAAACACAATTCTTATCTAGCAAATGAAATCTCTTCCTTTATTATTTTAAAACACACTATAATCGAAAGATTTGAGGCAATATAATAATAAATTAATTTTTTTTTTAAAAGGTGGCATTTTTAGATCTAACTAAACCTTAGAGCTGCTTCCAAATAATTTCTGGAATTTTCACTTGATAACAGCACAACCTATGGCGTATATAGATTTAGAAACATCCTACCTTAGATATACTACAAAAAATTTTAAATTACAACATGAAATAGAAGTATCATAATGAAGAGATATTTAGCATTTAATTTTATTGTAATTGACAATGCAGAGTTGCAGCAAGCTTAGAGAGAACAAACAGTACAAACTCAGTTTTTGAGTCCCATTGCAATATGGGACTTAAAAGGGGACTTTTGGGGGATTATTTCAGGTTTTAGATAAAGTAAAAATATAAATCCACCACATTTGGTATTGTTTTCTTTTTATAACTTTACATTGAATAAAATTTTACAACTTTAAATAATATTTTTTTAAGACAAAAAACTTCGATAATCTTATAAATTATCCATATAGAGAGAGAGGCAAAATCTTACAAAACTGAATATACATAAGCAAACATAAAAAACACAAATTTTTTCCTGTTAAGAATACAGATGTAAAGATTGTTACATTAAATACTAATAAAAATAATATTAAAAACATATGCTTTTATTAAATTTGGAGACAAAAAATAAGTTATTTTCTTAAAACACAGAAAATATGACACACAAACACATGAGAAGATTTCCGTGTACCAATGTCTATAACAAAATGACCACCATTATTTGGCGACTTCCGAGCAATGGCCAGCAATTAACTTAAAAAATAAAAAAAAATCACAGAAGACTACAAACTACAAAAGTTTAACTCATAGCTAGCCTCCCTCCCACAAACCATAACACATTTTTTTTAAAAATAAAATTTTGCAAGGTTAAAAACCCATTGGTGGCTTGGTAAAAGTAGTAGGCATGAATAGATACTGATACCGAAACATACTTAAATATTTTTCATAAAATCAGGGTTGGCAATTTTTCAGGAAGAAACCAGTTTTTTCCAACAAAAAACAAAATTGGAAAAAAACCAGAAGAAATAGACAAAATAGAAGAAATTAAAATTGACCAATACAATTGTTTAACAATAACTAATAAATGAATAGTTCAAATTTAAAACAAATAAAATAAATATAGTACAAAAAAGCAAATATTTTTTCACATAAATTTTTTTAAAAAGATAACTGTTTTCATGTTATTTATTTTGAATTTATATTATCCTTATTTTCAAAAATAATTTATGTTAACTTTATATTTATAAAAATATATGCTCTTATAGATGAATCAGGCGTACTACTTATATTAAATTTACTGAATATTCGGTTTAAAGATGGAGTTATCTAAAAAAATAACATTTGGTAAAATATTAATTCAAAATTCATTACTTTGCTAAAATTTTTTCTTGAAAATTTTAGGCCATTGTATTTTAATATAATAATTTTGACTTAATTTTTTTTTTTAAATAATTTTAATTTTTTGATTTCTTTAATATTAAAATAAGAACTAGTTTTTCTTCCTAAATTCATAACATAAGTAAATATTAAGTAAAATACCAAAAATGTGGGGGAAAAAACCCCCTTAAATATAGCATTTATATTAAAAAAATTATAAGTTTCATTTTTTAAAAGAAACATGTAAGTTAAAATACAATTTTAGTTCAATTTAAAATGCTTTTAAACTGAATCAAATTTGTTTAATTTTCAAAAACTTATCATTGATTTGAAAGTGAAAATTCTGTAATTTGTGAATAAAAATTTAATAGTTAATAAACAATTAATATAAAAAAAATTTTTGATAAATATTTTTGGCATGCTAATTGCCTTTGTAAAAACTAGATAATGAAATTTAGTATTTGTTTGTAATTATGAATACAATGTATGATTGTTAAATATCATAATAAAATTATATATTTACAATAATATATAATTTGATTAAGATTTTTAGAAGTTTTTTATATTGTAATAAAATTAAGTTGTATTGTATTTCTTTATTTAAAACATTGAAACTACAGTGGTTTTAATTTTTTAAGAAATTCACAAAATTAATTTTGCTTTTAAATTGTTTTTAAATTTATTATTTTCACTTATTTTAATTTATTCATGACTGAGTAATAGTACTACTATTTTTACTAGATAGCAATTATAAAATTTTAATTCAATACTTTTTTCTTTGAGTTACTTTTATTTTTTCCACCAATCGGGGTGGAAGAAATTTATTTCTTCCAGGCCAATTTTTTCCATTATGGAAGAAACTTGTTTCTACATAAAACTAAGATTTTTTTATAAGAAATATATGCTATCTGTTAAAAAGAAAAGTACAATTCAATGTACTAAAAATCAGTTATTCGGTACTCATTCTCCAAGAAATGAGGTGCTTCTTTGAAATGACTAAAACACTTTCATCTTTATATCAGTCAGATTCATCACTTTCTTGTAAAACACGAATTCTTTTGCTGAAATAAGGTGCTTCTTTGAAATGACTAAAACACTTTCATCTTTATATCAGTCAGATTCANGATTTCCTTAATATTAAAATAAGAACTAGTTTTTCTCCCTAAATTCATAACATTAGTAAATATTAAGTAAAATACCAAAAATGTGTGTGTGTGTGTGTGGGGGGGGGGAAACTCCTTAAATATAGCATTCATATTTAAAAACTTATAAGTTTTATTTTTTAAAAGAAACATGCAAGTTAAAATACAATTTTCAGTTCAATTAAAATGGTTTTAAATTGAATCAAATTTGTTTAATTTTGTAAAACTAATCATTGATTTGAAAATGAAAATTCTGTAATTTGTGAATAAAAATTTAAAAGTTAAAAAACAATCTAAAGTATGGGAAGAAGTTATAATATATAAAATTTTTTTTTTGATAAATACTTTCGGCATGCTAATTGTTTTTGTAAAAACTAGATAATGAAATGTAGTATTTGTTTGTAATTATGAATACAATGTATGATTTGTACAATGTATGATTGTTAAATATCATAATAAAATTATACATTTACAATAATATATAATTTGATTAAGAATTTTAGAAGGTTTTTATATTGTAATAAAATTAAGTTCTATTGTATTTCTTTATTTAAAACATTGAAAGTACAATAGTTTTAATTTTTTAAGAAATTCACAAAATTTATTTTTCTTTTCCATTTTTTTTAAATTTATTATTTTCACTTATTTTAATTTATTCATGACTGAGTAATAGTACTACTATTTTTACTAGATAGCAATTATAAAATTTTAATTCAATACTTTTTTCTTTGAGTTACTTTTATTTTTTCCACCAATCGGGGTGGAAGAAATTTATTTCTTCCAGGCCAATTTTTTCCATTATGGAAGAAACTTGTTTCTACATAAAACTAAGATTTTTTTATAAGAAATATATGCTATCTGTTAAAAAGAAAAGTACAATTCAATGTACTAAAAATCAGTTATTCGGTACTCATTCTCCAAGAAATGAGGTGCTTCTTTGAAATGACTAAAACACTTTCATCTTTATATCAGTCAGATTCATCACTTTCTTGTAAAACACGAATTCTTTTGCTGAAATAAGGTGCTTCTTTGAAATGACTAAAACACTTTCATCTTTATATCAGTCAGATTCATCACTTTCTTGTAAAACACGTATTCTTTTTTTAGAAGAAAAGGGTGCTGTCTGTTTAATAGGAGAATTCAATTTCATGACATTTGTATCAGTTATTTCATGTTCATTCACCAACACACGAGGAGCACTAATATCATCATCAGAATCGTCACTGAGATTGATGCGTAACCTTTTCCTTTTATGGACACCAACAACATCATCTAAGCTATTTGGATCTAAATTTTCAGTGTTCATATCAGATAGTGAAACTGAAGCACTCTTTGTAGACAAACTGTCTAACCTTAAGTCCTCCTCATCAGAGGAATCTTCAATAATTTTTCTTTTCTTTTTGTGCATTTTTGCCGAAACCAAATTCTCAACATATTTACCTCCGGATTCAGTTTTTTCTAGGTTTTTCTCATTTGAAATTAAACCTAGTTCCGATAACTTTTCAGCAACATCTTTTTCAGTCCTGTGTATTTTCATTTTTGAAATTACTTTGTCCAGTAAGTCTGATTGAGTTTTGTTTTCCTCAAACAACAGCTGCAGTTCAATTATCTCTTCTTCCTGCCACACTTTTGGAATGTTTATTGGGGTATTAGTGATCAATGTTAACGGAACATTATCATCATCATCAGACGAAGAAGAATCAGATTCTTTATTCTTTGCCTCCTCACTTTCTCTTCTTATTCTGACCTCTTTTCTATCTTTTATTAATCCCAAATCTAACATTTTTTCAATAATAATTGGCTTAGGTCGTTTAACAGTTTGATTTCTCATTATATTGCCAACTATATCTTTACGGCCTTTATTCTTTTGAAATAATTCACGCAGCTCTATAACTTCATTTTTTTCCCACACTTTAGAACTTTGCTTTTTATTCTGATTTGAGCTTGATTCAGTAGAACTTTCTGGCTTCTGGCTAGCTTTGGAAGTATTCGCAAGTACTGTTAAAGGAACATCGTCGTTATCAGATGAAGATTCAGATTCTTTATTCTTTTTCCCCTTACTGCTTTTAGTTTCTCTTTTTTTTCTGACCTCTTTTCTATCTTTTATTAATCCCAATTCCAACATCTTTTCTATAATAATTGGCTTAGGTCGTTTAATAGTTTGCTGTTTCATTATATTACCAACTATATCTTTACTGTCTTTATTCTTTTGAAATAATTCATGCAGCTCTATTACTTCATTTTCTTCCCATACTTTAGACAATTGCTTTTTGTTCTGTTTAGTATTTAATTCAGAAGTACTTTCTAGTTTCTGACTAGCTTTGCTTTCTTTTTTCTTTCTTATTTCTTTTCTATCTTTTATTAATCCTAATTCCAACAATTTTTCAATAATTAAAGGTTTTGGGCGCTTCATAGTTTGTTTTTCAAAAATATTTCCAACTGAATCATTGTCATTTTTACATTCTTCAAATAGCTTGTGCAGTTCAATAATTTCACTTTCATCCCACACCTTTGGAGGGCGCTTTTTCACTTGCTTTTGTTTATTTTTATCACTGCTTTTGGTTGATTCATCTTCAGAGTCATCTGATAAAATTTGTCTAAATTTTTTTGACTTTTTATGAGTTATGGTTTCAGAATTTACTGATTCATCATCACTCTGTATTACTTTTTTATCTTTCTTTTTTGTTTTGTTACTCTTTTTCAACATTTCTTTATCATTTATTAAATTCAATTCTAAAAGCTTCTCAACAATTTCCTTTTTCTTTCTTTTTACTGTAAGCAATCTACAGAGAATACTAAGAATATCTTCACTATCCTTATTTTCATTAAAGAATTTGTTTAATTCAAAAATCTCACTTTCATCCCATATTTTATTACTTTCGTTATCAGAATTTGCAAATTTTTCCTGTGCTGAATCAAGATTTTCATTTTCTTCAATGCTTGCAATTCCAGTAGTATTTTCTTTATCAGCTTTTAAACTTCTGAAAAAGTCTTCCTCAGCATCATCATCTGAAGATACCTGAGATTTATTTTTATTAGATTTCGACCAAAAATCCTCTTCAGGTTCAACATCAGAATCAGAGCCGGAGCTATTGGAGTTGTTCTTTTTCTTAGATTTCTTTTTCAGAACTTCTTTACGGTCTTGAATTATATTCAATTCAAGCAGCTTTTCAACCACTGCCTTCCTAGATCGTTTTATAGATAAACGATTCAAAATATTTGTCATAACATCATCAGAAAGTTTATGATCTTCATATAAATTCTGGAGATCAATTATCTCAGCTTCTTGCCACTCCTTTCTCAGTTGAGGTTTCAAATCTTTAACATTTTGAATCAGACCCAACCTTTTGAGAGCAGAAATTATTTGAAGCTTTGTTCTCTTCTTATGAAGATTAACTAAGATCAAATCAGCAATATCTTGACCTTCAATGTAAATATTTTGGTTTTCTTCAAACAAATACTTGAGTTCTTCTTCTTCATCTTCTGTCCAAGCTATCTTATTAGAACGATTCTCAGCTTCACCATACCCTTCTTCCAACTCATATGCTTCTCTTGTGCCTTTCCAAAACAGAATTTCCACAAATGCCTTTTTATTCTTTTCAGCAGTTTCAAAAAATTTTCTCATGATGAATTTTCCAAATCTGAAAAATTCCTTTATTAATGGATCACGAGAACTATCAGGATCTCGAAAAATTCTTTGGAATGTTAAAAAGACTGTAGCTTGGAAAAATAATGCATGCATTTTGCAGCTCCAAGCTATCCTATGCAAAAACTTTATTAAACATGAATTTGTTTGACGCGAGTTACCTTGATAATTATTCAACAGTAAGCAACATGGAATAACTACTTTGTGTGTTGCATATTTATTGTATATTTCATTAATATCCAATTTTTGTTCAGTGACTGCAGGTAGAGATTCTTCTTCTTCATCTGATTCATATTCAGCTAAATCAGGATCTTCAGTAGCAGGTTTGATAGCATGTCCAGGATCAGTCAAGTCTGATAAAAATATTTCTCTTAACACACAAAACTCATCTTCAGACTCAATGTCAGGAGAGCCAAAAGAATCCCCTTCCGGCCATAGGTCTCGGGCAGCACGCAATAAACCAACAGCTTTATTTGCTTCTTTAGCAAATAAGGCATTTCTTATTTTATACACTGCTTCAATTTTCTGTTCTTCAAATTCAACTTGAGAGGCACCATCGAATGGAGAAATGTCTTTTGGAATACTTCGCCGATCTTGTACAGCAGCTGATAATTCACTAGAAATATCAACCCATTTTTCTTCTATTGTTTCTGCGGTATTAGTTTGGTCTAAAGGCTGGGACTTTTTTTTCCGCCTTCGAATTTTACGTTTTTTCTTCTGAATAATTATTTCTGAATTTCGTTTAGAGTGATCTTCCAACATCTTCAAAAACAAATAAGCACTTTCAACTAATTCTGCTAAATAACTTAGAGGAAATTTAACTTCATCATAATGAGTCAAAAGGGATAACAGCATCTCTCGATATTCGATTACGTAAAAAATATTGCTAATTACAATATCTGCATTTCTCTTTATATTAGAGTCAGAAGACTGTGTCATAGCTCTTAATGTTTGCAACAGCTCCTTATAAGCACTAACGCCCAATTGCATTCGCTTGGACCAAACTTTAGCTTTCTTTTTATCTGCCATCATCATTTCAAGATAATCAGTTATTTGAGTTTGAATGTGATGAAATATTTGTACAGATATTGTCTCACTAACAAAATCAGGCTGAAATTTATAATGACGATTAAATTTCATAAAATATTCGATAGCCCATAGGTAGTAAGAGTCATCATGATCCCCAGAACTTTTTCGGATTAACTCTTTCTTAACAAGAGCCATTAATTTGTTATAGGTCTTAAGGAATTCTTTACAAAAGTTTTTAAGAAATAATCTAACAGTTAATGTAGATTGCCTTGTTTGATCAACGTCTTTGGGAGGAAGTCTGTTTTTAGGTTTGCGCTTTGCATTTTTATTCGAGTCAAATTTGACATCTTCCATGTTAGTAATTAATTTATGAGAAATATAATCCTTATCACTAAGGGATTTCATATTTTTGACACTGTAAACACCATTAAATCTAGATGTAATCATAGATTGAGTGTTTTTCACTTTCATAGACTGTTCACGTTGTAAAGCAGACACTAATGAATGTACATCTTTTTCTTTCTCCGCAGCTGAGCGCTGCTCATTAGAGAGCGCAAGAGTTTCAGCAGAATGTTCACGAAGCATCAATGAGACAATTTCTAATACATGCAAAGAAAACTGTTTTTCTTCTTCATTTGCACACAAATACAAGATGGAAACATCAATTTTGGATTTTCGAAGACTCAGTAACACCTTATCATGAGAACTGAGATCGCTATCAGTTTTTGTGAGATTTCTATCGTCAGTTGGTATGTGCAATATATTACGTATTAGTATTAAAATCCTCTCTATGGTTAAACTTTCAGCTTCACTTCGTTCCACAGATCTGGTTTCCAGCAGATTTTGAAGTCGTTTGGATAGTGCATTCCACGCATCAGCATCTGTAAAAGCATCTTTATATGTTTGTAAGTAGGATACTAGCTGTAAATATACATTGTGAGAGAGTTTATCTTCTGGAATTTCTTCTTTAAAGAGCAGAATTGCTGGACTAGAGAGAGCCACTAACAGACGGAGAACAAAATCAAAAATTTCGTCATCTTGTTCATACCGCTTTAATAAAGGTAAAAGATCAGTTTGCACTAAACGAATTGATCCAAGAAAACGAAGTACTGAATGATTATCATCGTCTTTCCTCAGGTATCTAAGCAAGTCTCTTAGACATTCTAAACACTCGACACCCTTTTCATATACACCTGTTACTTCTGTCCCTAAAGCGTTGCAAGTAGCTAATATATCAGCTTCAATCAAGTGATTCATTTTGAAAAATTAATTAGTAAATAATCAAAAATTACTTGAGTAAAATGATAATATTAGATGGATTACAACTCATAAGGTGTATCTCTGCGTACTTTAACATAGCTACTAAGCTAAAACTTCTTACAATGCTCCCATCTCATTTATTTGATAATTTGAAATTTATTTATAATATTATATAAGCAATACTAATTCTTAAACATATCTTTATCAACACAAAAATTACGCGCCAATATTTGTTTTGTTTTGATGCCAATCATTTAAAAGTATATTTAACTTTTTAAAAAAAATGGAATTCAAAGATTTTGCTTCATTTATAGGTTAAAATAAACTTCTTTTCAAAATTTGAGGAAAATAAAAATATTTGTAAAAATTCGTGAGTTGCATCGATAATTATTAATTAATTATGACTTCTAAGAAACTGAGATTTGGCAACTGCTTTCTTTTGAATTCTGTACGGTTTTTTACAGTTGAGCGATCGTAAAAAGGATATAGGTTAGAAAGTTTTAAAAGTTGAAAATATTTATTGCTAGTTTCAGATTTTACTTTGAAGTTGTTTATTTTGGACAACAACTGTGACAACGGTTTGTTCTCCCTTTTTTAAGTGGTGTTCTGAGGTTTTTAACAGAAAATCTTCCTGTTTTTTTATGTCGACTGTTTGTGTTTACGTTAAAATGGCGGGGTTGTGGAACTTTTGATAGTTTGACTAAAATATTTTTAAAAGGAATATTCTTCGATTTAAGTGACTTAAAAAAATCAAGAATATGGCTCGAAAAAGGGGTAGGTTAAGTGAAGATGACTGTGATCAGCAAAATATTGAAGTAGACGCGGATGATATATTTCCTGCTGATCTTCACGAACATGATGCTATAGATTTTGAAGAGACTGGCTTCAGAGGTATCAGAAATAAAAGAAGACGAGTTGCTGGAAGAGGTAGAGGAGGCGGTCGAGGTCGTGGTAGAGGGGCTGGCCGGAGGGCTATTCAAGATTCCCCAACAGACGATCCTAATAGCTTGTTCGAAGTCGTTAAACAAGGCCGTAGTGCACTGCAGTGTGTTGTTGATGATTGGATTGAAGCTTATAAACAAGATCGTGATATTGCTCTACTTGATTTGATGCAATTTTTTATTCAATGTGCTGGTTGCAAAGGACGTATTACTCCCCAAATGCAAGCTACTATGGAACACGCTCAGATCATTAGGAAAATGACTGAAGAATTCGAAGAAGAAAGTGGTGATTATCCACTGATTATGAGTGGTCCTCAGTGGAAGAAATTTCGCACCAATTTTTGTGAGTTTGTTCAAGTAATGGTACGTCAGTGCCAATACAGCATTATATACGATCAGTATTTAATGGATAATGTTATATCTTTGCTTACTGGTCTGTCAGATTCTCAAGTTCGAGCGTTTCGCCATACGGCAACCTTGGCTGCTATGAAACTTATGACTGCTTTAGTTGATGTTGCTTTAAATCTTAGTATAAATCTTGATAACACACAGCGTCAGTATGAAGCTGAGCGTCAAAAGAATCGGGATAAGAGAGCCACTGAAAGACTTGAAATGCTGTTAAGCAAACGTCAAGAGCTAGAAGAAAACATGGAAGAAATAAAAAACATGCTTACTTACATGTTTAAAAGTGTGTTCGTGCATAGATATCGAGATACATTGCCAGAAATTCGTTCTATTTGCATGTATGAGATTGGCCAATGGATGAAGAAATTCCATCAACATTTCTTGGATGACAGTTACTTAAAGTACATAGGTTGGACCCTTCATGACAAAGTGGGTGATGTGCGTTTGAAGTGTTTGCAGGCTCTACTTCCTCTTTATGGCGCTGAAGAATTAACAAGCAAAATGGAATTATTTACCAACAAATTTAAAGATCGTATTGTGGCTATGACCTTAGATAAGGAATATGATGTAGCTGTTCATGCTGTGAAATTAGTGATAAGTATACATAAATATCATAGAGAAATATTAACTGATAAAGATTGTGAGCATGTGTATGAACTAGTGTATTCATCTCATAGAGCAGTTGCCCAAGCAGCTGGTGAATTTTTAAATGAACGATTATTTCAACCCGATGAAGAAGCTGTCCAAGGTCTAAGAACTAAACGTGGAAAGAAACGTTCTATAAATACTCCATTGATTAGAGATTTAGTGCAGTTTTTCATTGAAAGTGAACTTCATGAACATGGTGCATATTTAGTTGATAGTTTAATCGAAAGCAATCCGATGATGAAAGATTGGGAGTGTATGACAGATTTGCTTTTAGAAGAACCTGGAGCTCAAGAAGAACCGCTTGATGATCGCCAAGAAACATCTTTGATAGAAATTATGGTTTGCTGTGTTAAACAGGCTGCAACAGGAGAACCTCCTGTTGGAAGGGGCCCAAATCGGAAACAACCTTCTGTAAAAGAGTTAAAACAAGTTTCAGATGATCGCATAAAGTTGACAGAGCATTTCATTATGACTTTGCCATCGTTGTTAGCAAAATTTCTTGCTGATGCTGAAAAAATTGCAAATCTGATGCTCATACCTCAATACTTTGAATTAGAAATATATACTACAAGTCGACAAGAAAAGAATTTAGACAGTTTGTTGAAGTTAATTCATGAAATTGTTGAACGTCACAATGACACTGACGTCTTAGAAGCCTGTGCTAAAACTTATGAATTTTTATGTAACGAAGAACTTGCAATTCATTCAAGGTAATTATTAAGTTTAGTGTAGAATTAATTTTCTTCAAGAAAATAAAGAAAGATTGGAAAAAACTTCATAACATTTTATAAACTTTTTAATTAAGTTTCTAAGTTGTTAATTTCCTCTTCTGTCCTGAGTTGCAAAACTTGGGATTTTTTTATGTGAACATGATTGAAAATTATATCTAGAAAAGAATTTTTTGATGACAGTATTAGTTTTATTTGTTAGGACAAATTGTGGTCTTTTCTTACATAATTTATATGATGTATATTTCATATTATTTCTTTCACTCTCTTTTAACCAAAGAAGTGTCATCAAATTAAGCTGGTTGGATCTTATAGATAGTGATCCCTGTCTTGCTTTGAATATGTTGTAATTTGAACATACATCCTGTTTAGTTGTTGTAAGTTACAGATACAATGAAGAAACAGTAAATTTTTTTAAAAATGTATTTAAGTTGTTGGATAAAGAAAAATAAAGTTTTTTATGCAATAAATAAATTTTTTTAGATTTTTATTTTTACTGTAGCTTCTTTGGTTATTGTTAATAATATGCTATTTGGATAAACAGTGTAGAGAATATTATCAATGGTTAATAAACCTGAAATAACACCAGGATATAGCAATTTTTTTACTTCTAGTTTAAGTATTCTGTTTTATCTAATTATAATTCACAATGAGTATTTTTCCATATTTTATTAAAGTTTGTTTTTCTTCTATTAGGTGTGCTGTTGCTAGGGGGACTTTAGTTGATTCCTTGGTACATAAATATAACCAAGCCTCAAATGATTTCTTGCAAGCTGGAGCTGAAGTAGATGAAGATGAAATTTACATCGTAACATCCGCTATGAAGAAAGTGTCTATTTTCTATAGCTGTCACAATCTTGGACCCTGGAGTATTTGGGATAAAATTTATGATTTTTGGGTTAAAGGTGCTCTTCTTGAGAAAGGTTTACCTGAAGAAGTTGTAAAGTATGCTATGTCTTGTTGCTCAATGGGTATTATGTGGGATCTGGCTGTTTTAGATGACACAAGTCCTTTGCCAGTTGCTGTTGCCAGTCTTCAAAATAGACTGAAAGATTTTGTTGAAACGATGCGAGATCTGCTAAACCATCAATCTGATACTTTAGAAGAACATGCATTTGTTATCATCTGTGATTTGCTTATAGTGTTTTGTAAACAACTCGCTGAAAATTCTGGTCTGACTCCCTTGGTTTATGAACCTGATAAGTCTTTGCAGAATCAACTCAGTTTATTTGTCCAAAAAAAGGTATTTTTTTGAAAAATTTAATTGGTTATAAGTGTGTATTGGTTAACAAACTTCTAGCACTAATATTTTTTTGCAAGATACTTTTAATGCTAAACATACCGTATCCAGTCAAAAGACTGGTTTTTGTATGTTGCATTTTATTGTATTGAAAAGTGTTGGTATTTTTAGTGTTAATAATAGCAAACATATATGTTACCAGTTTAAAATAACAAAAGTGCTGTGTTTACAAAAGAAAACTATTATAATTTTTTTATGATTGAACATGTAACAATTTTTTATTCTTGTATTTCGTTGGGGAGTAAACGCACTATTTATTTCCTTCTTCGCATTTTGTAAATCCGTTGCCGAAAAAACGATTGACGACGAAATCATGTTAATTGGACTCCTCAAAAAGGGATTTCTCAAATGCGAGGTTAGGTTGTTGTAATAAAAAATATCGAATTTAAAAACTATGGAGACATCAAAAGCAATAACTGCTCGATAGAATCATTGCCTTGAAAAAGGAAAACTCAAATACACAATTCGAATTTTCCATATTGTTGAAATATATTGGGATATTTAAAAACCATGTGAAAATTAATATCAGTAACTGCTGAAAATTAAATCGGAAAATTACATCTATTTGCGATACTTCGGGCCTAAATTGAGTTCGTCAAAAAGTGATTATCTAAAGCAAAATTTAAATTTGTCTAAATTTCTGTAGAAAAGAAAAAGAAAATTGTTTACTTTTCAAAAGAAAAATCTTTCTGCAAGAACTCTGTAACGTTCTGCGACAGTGTTGTCGTGTAGCTGCGATTCTGCCACCGGGTAATGCACAATAATGTAAATTTAATAAATAATATTGAGAAACTTATAAGAAATTTACTGGTTGAAAAAGTCTACCTAGTATCGGATTCTCATTTTTTCGATGCAAGTTACACATAAATTTCACACTTCCGCTAAAGAGTTGCAATGAAAAGTTAAGTTTACGCATTGCAATATAATATTTTCTATTACAAATAAAAGTTCATTTTCCAAAGATTGTATTTTACACTTATTTATTGTATAAAAAAAGAAAAAGGGTATAATAAAGTCTGCAATTGGTAATGGTTTTATCAATTTGGAGCTTTTTCGTGTCCATTGCTTCATAAAAATCTTCACCCTTAAATTTCAACAACACTTTATGTTATTTTTTAAACTTCGTGGTCATTTCTTTGTTGATACTGAACTATTTTTATTGATTTAAACTGTTTTTCATTTTTGACTCTCCCTTATTTGTGCCACAAACAAGTTTAATGTTTTTACTATAATGAGATTTTTGTTTTATCATTTTAAGCAAAATAATATTAAAACGTAACATTTAACAAATCTAGCATCCAGCCTTTATCATAATAATTAAGCCAAGATCCATGTCATCAAAGTAGACGTTCATTGCACTGAATTAGCTGCTAAAAGTCTGAGAAAAAAATTATTGTAATGTTGTTTATATAAAAAGCTTCAATTAAGGTATCCAAAAGTTAAAGAAAAAAATGTTTTTATATTGAAGTAAATTAAAAGATGCTTAAAAAATTTAGTACTGTTTCCAAGTACTTCTGCATAAGAAACCTAATACAGTCGAACCACGTTAATTCAACACTCTCGGTACCTCTGAAAAACTGACGAATAAACCAAAGTTGCATTGTTTTTCAAAAAAATAGGAAAATACTCATAAATTAACAATTATTACATACAGCAGCGATATTTAAATTTCTTAAAATAAAAAAAACATTAAAGAATTTGCATTAAAACAATTCAATTAAAACTCGGGCCATTCTAAACCATTTAACAAGGGCATTTTCAACGTCTTCGAAGGTCGAAATACGCATTCTTTCTCGCCATCCTGAACACGCAGACAACTTTCAATTTTATCTTTTAAGGACCAAATGGCAATGAATGTTGTGCGAGGGACTCCTTTCCGTTTTGCAAAAGCAGCCTTAGATATTCCAGATTGCCCAAATTCTCTTATCATTTGGAGCTTTTCATCCAATGTCCAAGATTTGTATCCAAGTTTACTCGCCATGGCACTGAACTAAAGACTAGAGAGACTCAAGACCGCACCGCTATGCCGTACTAAGTTTTGCAGGAGAGAGAAGAAAAGGCACGCATTCCAAGATGCTCGTTTATTGCCACCTCTTTCCCCCCCTCCTCGTAGGTGGTGGAAGGAGGGGTGAGACAAAAGGGCAGGGGAAAAACGCTTCCAGTGTCCGAATTCCAAGAACCAGTTGCCTAGTGCCAAAATTAGCCCAGTGGAAATTTCCGCAAAAGTTGACTGGAGAAAAGCAATTTCCCAGTGAAAACATTCTTTAAAGTGTCATTTTATCCAGAGTTTATAATTTCCCCATGACGCATTAAACGGAGTTTGTTAACACTGAATCCAATGCAAATCAATCGGGACTTGAAAAAAAAATGTCGAAATAACCGTAGTGACGAATTAAGCAAGTGTCAAATTATTGAGGTCCGACTGTACAACCAAAACAGCATTAATAATAGTATAACAGTTTTTGGAACCCGTCTCCACTTTCCTGTTTGACAGATATATATGCCCCAAATATCTTTTACAAGTCCTGTACTGTACTACATAAACATAATTCTATCTTTCGTTTAGGTTTTTATTGAAGATGAAGATGATGATCAAGATGAACACACAAAAATTGAAGAGCTTCATAAAAGAAGGAATTTCTTGGCATCGTTCTGTAAATTAATTGTTTACAATATTATAAGTGTGAAACAAGCTGCTGACATATTCAAGCATTATGTTAAGTTCTATAATGATTATGGTGATATTATTAAGGCTACATTAGGTAAAGCCAGAGAAATAAACAAAGTGAATTGTGCAAAAACTATGGCAAAGTCTTTGACTTCTTTGTTCGTGGATCTCAGAAATTGTGCACCTAATGGTCAAATAAATCGCCAAGAAGAAAGTTTCATTGCTATCCGAGAATTGGCCAAGAGATTTGCATTATCCTTTGGTTTAGATCAGGTAATATGTTTTTATTATATACACTTTTTATTTATTTTTTTCAAATTATTTAAGGATATTTGTAATAGCATTAATTAGAATGACACAAGATACTGTTACGACAAAAGAGTTTCAAATCATACATTTAAATACTCACTTTTTAATGTGCTTTGCTTTTGTCAATTTCATCATAAATACCTATTATTTTTCAATAATTTTTTCGGCATTCCTTGCAATGCACTCTCCCGTATTTTAAAAATTCAGATGTTTTTTACGACATGCGAGTTTTAAGTCACTTACTTAAATAATTACTTATTGATGTACTTTATTTATGCTGATTTCTTTTTGAAAATTGCTTTTTTCTTCTTCAAATAATTGTGATGTTTTACTACATGACTTGGACAATTTCGTTACTTTAACTGTGATGTTATTACGACACAGGAGTTTCTAATAGCACCATTTGAATTCATAACCCTTTGATACTATATATTTGTGCATATTTAATCGCAAATCTAAGTTATTTTTTTCGCGTTACTGTAGTTTCTTCGGCAGTGAGTGCCATGCTTTTGTACATGGTATTTAAAATCTCGATATTTTGATACGTTATTGCTACCTGAAAAATTTAAAAACTGGAGGAAAATGCAAATTTTTAAACTGCTCGCTGCTTGTAATTTTATTAGTTTTCTGTAGCCTATGTGATTTTTTTTTCGGAAAAAACGAAAATGTTTTCTTTTTAAAATTCATACCAAATAAATATTGAATCTTATTTTTGTACTATAATGCTTTTGTTTTAAATTTTGGTTCTTGTTTAAACCTTTTGTTTAATTAGTAATTTTCTTCAATTAAAATAAGTATTAATATTATTTTTACATTTTCATTCTGTGAGCATTAGAGTTTTTTTTGTTTGTTAGAATTTATATTTTCCCCTATATATACATATATATATTGATAAATTTTTTTTTTTTAAAATATGAGTTTTTTTATTTTTGAATTTTAATAATTAAGAGTATTTAATTTTCTGCAAATTAAAAAATTTTGTTGATAAAAAAACATGTTGAACACTAACGTTTCTCTAAAAATAACTAAACATGTGCGTAGCCTTTCGTTAGTCAACCTGCTGTGCTAGTGGCCCTTGAATCAATAAGGTTGTGCACCCCTAGTAGTGATATTTTTATTATCAGTTATGTATAGTGTACTATCATGTTATCTCTAATTTAAGAGATTTGTTTTTGTTCCTTTGTTAAAATACATTCATAATTATGTTTGTTATATTATATACAAGCAATAAAAGTAAGAAGCCGAGAGTTTAAAGAAGAATTAACAATTAAGTCATTCATGCTGTGAGAGTTATGTCTTAAATAAAATTTAATTTTGGGAAAATTAAAAATGAATCAGTAGTTACCATTTTCTGTGAGTACATTAAGGGTGTATTATCTTTTTGAGTGAAGGGCCCCTTGTACGGCTGGTTGTTCAATGAAGGACCACATGTCCAAGTATTTAGTTACGTTGACTGCCTTTACAGCACTTTTCATATTAAACTAAGTGTTTTAGAGAATAATAACTTTTTATCAATCAACTTAGTAATAAATTTGCTTAAAATTAAATGCTTTTAAAGATTAAAGCTCATTCAAGACTGAAGGTTGATTAACTGATTCTTTTCAAAATAAAAATTAAATTTGAAGCACATTATAGCTCAAAATAAGATTCAACCCTTAGATATGAATATATTTGTAATTTTTAGGACATTAATATCTTGTGAATTATAANAAAAGTGAAAAAAAGCGGAAAAATCTCATCCCTGTATAGTTCAAAATAAGATTCAACCCTTAGATATGAATATATTTGTAATTTTTGGGTCATTAATATCTTGTGAATTATAAAAAATTTTAAGAATGTCAACACTATTCAAAACTGGGTCGTTATATCTTATTAAAAAATTTGGATTTAAAAAAAAATCACATAGAAAAACATAGCAATAACTGCTGAAAGAATGATTTAAAAAAAAATCTGAAAATAACTTAAAATCACTAGAAAAATAGCTTGGATTCACAATGACGTTGGTGCAAATAAAGCATGCCAAAAGTGTTTATTAAAATGCACGATTTGTAACTTACGAGTCTTAATTGCATTGTATTAAAAATATCCAGATTTTAAAAAATTTGGAAATCCTACAATGACTGCTAAATGGATAAAATGGACAAAAGAGCCTGACAAAAAGTAATAACTTTTATGAAATTTTCTTTTCAGAATAATAACGAATAAAAAATATTAAGATTTTTTAAACTATGTGGAAGTCTGTAGTAATAACCACGGAAAATGCGATCGTAAAACCTCTCAGATTTACAACAAAATCTGTATATTTTGATATTGTTTAAAAGTGTGATGACTCGAATGTACAATTCAAAATGTCCAACTTTTTTTATTTTTCAAAAAGAAATATTGTTTTCCATTATGTGCAGGTGGTGTCGGGGCTTAGGTTGTGCATCCCTAGAGTACATTAATAATTACATAATGTAACATTTCAATAGTACTTGTTTGATATGAACATTGGATAACTTTTTTTTTATTTGAAATTTCTTTGGTCATTTATTTATACCTATATATTTTGCAGGTTAAGAATCGAGATGCTGTTGCGGCTTTACATCGTGAAGGCATTTTATTCACTGTAACACCAATTTCAAATCCTAATGATCCACTTGGTCCTCCACCTAATTTGGCATTTTTGGAGATCCTTACAGAGTTTACTAATAAACTGATGAAACTAGACAAAAAAGTAGTTTTAAACTATTTAGATCGTCATATCCAGGCCAGTATGCCCGGTACACGTTCTGAAGATTGGCAACCTCTCATTTTTTATCGTAACAGCTTAGTTCATGGTGAAGCTGAACAGCCTCCTCCAAGAGCGCCTGGGAGACAATATCGTGGGAGAAAACGCCTTCGAGAAGATGATGACCCGAGAAATATGGAAGATGATGGTAACATGGATCAGGACTCTGATCGTGGTTCTGAAAATTAATTATTATTTTAATTTTATAATTATGTTACTATTCATATTAAAGAAAAAAAATTCTATCTTGTATTTTTGATTTTTTCTTCCTATACTTCTATAGATTTTTTACTTAGGTTGTTTCTCAACAGAAAGTTTTAAAATATTGTGTATTTTCATTTATCTCATTGTTTTTATCATTACTATCACATTTTTACGCATATATATTGAGGTTTATTATTGCCTATGCATACAAAAGCAAAAATTATTTAAATTTTATAAGAAAAACAGTTTCGGTTTTTCTACCTGTATTTTAAGAAAATTTTTAAGGTCTATCTAATAAATATATTTGTAGTTATACTTCTCTTGTCAATTCTGTGTACATGTATTTTTATTACTGAATAGAAAACATTTTACTTATATTTCATAAGCAGTTTAGGAACATAATAATATAGTAAGTAAAGTTTACTTAAATAAAAATTAAATCTAATATGCATTAAAAAAAAACACAGTGAAAAGTGCTTGTTTTATAGTTTAGAGAACAGTCACTATTTTTGAATAATATAAAGTGAAAATAATATTTAAAATACTTTTAATCTATTTTGTTGATCAACAAAATGAAAGCGATTTTTAGTAACTAACTGTATTTAATAAGCTGGATATTTTTTATACAAGACTACGAAATCTCCTCAGCAAGTGGAAAGTCAGTAGAAATTTTTTTATCAACCCATCAAATGTAAAGAACTGTGTAAAGAATTCTCTTGAGATTTTGCACAACGAAGACAGTGCTAGACTGAGAATTTAAAAATGACTAACTTTTTTAATATTTTCTTTTTAATTTATTTGAAGATCTGAGTAGAAAAAAAAATTTTGAGTGATATTTTGAAATTGGTGAAATTTCTGATTTTTAAGAATATTGTTGGGATTAATGTAAGTTATAAAATATTGCTTAAATCTGTTTAGTCTTAAAATAAGATTATTATAATTTTTTATTTTTTTTTTGGATAAAGATGATTCGTAAATAACTTTCTGGTGTATCTATTAATTCTAAGGATGGTTTTCACAAATTCTATAATTAATGAAAATTATATAATTAATGAATTGTTAATCAAGTTAAAATTGTTTTAAATAAACTGAACTAAGAGATCTCAGTTTTATTTTTAGGAACCACTAATCTCTTTCATACAAGGTTTGATTTCATCATCTAAAAATAGTAAATAAGTATATGTCCCCCAATTCACCCCTAAGAAAATTTATTTAATGGAGTTGTTTTTTTCTTCTTTTTATTATCATACATGGTTTCTTAAAAATTTTGAAACAACAAATTGGTTACAATAGATAAAATACCTTGGAAGCTTTTGTACATTTTGTGGATGGTCTCCAAGCTCCAAATTTCAGCATTTTAATTATATCACGATTGATTCCGCAGATCTGGAATGTCTGACTGTTAGGGAAGCTGTTCCCTAATTTTAATTACAGGAAACCTTCAGAGTCACACTTTCTATAACAAAATTGGCTTTAATATTTTAAACTACAGCTTTACTACAATTTGTAACACAAAAACTAAAAACAAATTATTTCTTTAAGCCTGAAAGTTTCAACTTTAAAAATGCAAAGCTAATTTGCATTGTTGTTATTTTTCTTTTGTTTATCATCAATATATAAGAAATCAAAACTTTTTTACATGCTGCAAATCATTTTAGTTTTTAACTATCTTTATAATTAATTAGATTAGAAAAAAATCTAGAGCCAGGTAATAATAACAAGTTAAATACATATTGATTATAATAAAACATTTAATAAAGTAAATTCTGTAAATGAACTATACAATAGACATAAATTTTTTACATAAAACACTGCAGATAAAAATTCTATTTTCCATTTTTACAAAATATATGGTGATGGAATACATTAAAATTAGAGACGCTTTATGAATATTGAAATTTTAATGATTTATGTACATAAAATGAAAACACTTCCAAGTTGAAAATGTTTTGGTGTTGTAAAATAATCCAGTTAAAAAACAACTTTTTACCATAAATTGTTAAAATTGATATATTTTGTAATTAAGTACAATAGCTGCCATCATTAGTTTTTTAAATGCTATTTGGATACAAAATACTTTACATTTTAAAAAATGCATGCATACATTAAATGAGAGAAATGAAGTACATATGTCTTTCATTGTTTCTAAGTGTGGTACATATGCTTATTCTAAATGCTGTGCTATTATGATATGTTATAAAGTGGTTTGCTGAAGTATGAAAAAAGTTATCTAGGAATGCAATTTTATTTACTGCATTTGATTCATGGAAAATACCATTAAAAATCCATATGACATCTGCTTTAATTGCATGAACACCATTGTATTGATGAGTGTGTATTGGTTAACAAAGTATTTTAAAAAGAATTCTGCAATATTCTCCCAAATTATTATAGGAAGCTTTTTCCCCAAAATATTATAGGAAATGATGTTTTCCAATTCATCCATATGATTTTCATTTTATGGGTTCCAAACTAAAATTATGTTTTTCTTCAAACTTTATTATACAGATAGAAATTGTTCTTCGATATGTTTCACTTGTTTAAAAAATTATTTCTCTCTATACTGAAAAATCATAATAGCTGCTGTAATTTGGGCCTTACACTTAACGATACATTCTGCTTGGTGACACAAAAATCATAAGACTTAGAAAAATGTATAGGGAGTAAGATGAGTAATAAAAAAATAATTATTCAATTAATTAGTTCAAGAATTATCTACTGTTAAACTTGTAGTAAAAAAAAGAGCACATGGGACAGGGATGGGCAAACTACGGCCCGCCAGAAGGTTTCATCCGGCTCGCGGGTAGAAGTTTAACTTGCCAATTTGTGGCGGATACAAACAATATACATTCATTTTCTTGTCTACTTTTCATTTTATAACTTTGTTTAAAGCCATTTTTGTTATTTCTTTTTTTAAAAAATTACTGATGACCATTTATTTCCTCTATTTTTGCTTTACAAAACATCAATTGATGAAAATAGTTAGCTCAGACAGCTTCAATTGGTAAAATGTTGAAAGCAAAAGTTCTTTATAGAGCAGCCATCTGAAGCAGTTGTTACTAAGTATTCCAAAGTATGAGTTTTACAAATCATTACCAAAAGCTAGTTTCCCAAACTTAATATTTCATGCCCAGAAAGTCAGTGCTATTTTTGCTTCATCTTATGTAAGTGAACAAGTGTTTTCAACTATGAACCTTAGAAAAAATCATTTCAGAAGTAGACAAACAGTTGGCTTCGTACCTTAATATAAATACATCTCACTTGGAACCTCAATAAGGAACTTTTAAAAATGAAATTGCAATTTTATTAATCCCATTAAATATTTAAATTAAAACTTGTATATTGTTTTTTTATTTTTACTTTAGATGTTTTTACCTGGCCCACTAAACTTTTTTCTCTCGATTTTTTGCCCTCGACCAAAAAAGTTTGCCCACCCCTGATGTAGGATGATCAACAGCCCATTAAATTTTTAACAACAAAGTTAAAATTTGACAGACTGAAAGAGCCATTTTCATTCACGAATTTAATGTGAGTTTTTTTCCTCATAAAATTTCAATTTATTCAAAAGTAATTACAATTTTAAGTGCTTTTTTCAGGATTTATTTCATTTTTTTTTCACTTTAATTAACAACTTTTTATTTTATAGAAAAACGTATTAATCTTGCTCCAGATCTCCATTTTATGAGTTCATGCTTGCCTTGATGTCCAAGGGTACAAAAATATAAAATAAGAAAGCGACTAGATGTTGTCAGATCCTAATATTTATATCAAATTTTTTAAAATATAAGACTTAAGAGAGATAAAAACATTTTCCAATTTGAACTGTTATGTGATATAGGGTTATCATTATATTGTTAACAAGAGAATGTTAAATTATTGAGACAGTGTTGGTTAACAAGCATTAGAAATACCTTGCATTTACATGTTCTTGACATAATCATTACAATTACAAAATTTTTTCTGATTAACAGATGTTGATTTAAAGGAATATTGAATTAAAGAACCCAAATTCTATGATGTTTCATAGAAGTGAAGAATTTCATTGTATATATATAATAATTGACATCTATTGTTCTGGTTTTGCTTATTTATTAAAAATGTAGATTATTTTATATGTATACACATACTTATGAATTTCAGTTCTCTGTATTTTAAGAAAATTTTNACTTTACAAGAAAAAAGAAACAAAAACCTGGAAATTTTAAGATTTTTATCTGGAAAACCTGGAAAAATCAGGGAAATTTGAAATCTGGTTTGAGTGGCCACCCTGAATTGAAATCTATTGTTCTGGTTTTGCTTATTTATTCGAAATGTAGATTATTTTATATGTATATACATACTTATGAATTTCAGTTCTTCAAAAATCTTTTGACATTTTTTAATAAGGAATTTCCTTAAATTTTCAAAATCTTACATTTCCAACTAAACAAACATTAACTTCTTCTATTTGTTACTATTGTGTTTAATTTTATTACATTCTTTCTAAAATGTATAATTTTGGGCAGAGTTATCTCAGGCATTTAAGTTAAGAGGGTTAAATAGCCATGACTGCTCACATTCAGTAGCGTATTATTAGTGGGGCACAAAAAGCTTTCACATAAAACTGCTGGTCAATAATATGTTAAGTGTGATATATGGAATAAGTTGAATAAGGTACAGTCATTTCGATAGTTAAAACATGCACAGAATGTAAAGTATAAATCACATACACAGACTGATTATAAAGAACATTGAAATGATTTAAAAAGAAATCAAAAGTACGTTTTAACATTCACAGTTATCTAATTAGTATAACCATTGACAGTACGTAAGACACACAGAGAATAAATAATATTAGAAAAATATAAATACACAGGTTGTAAAAAAATTGCAAGAGAGTAAAATATCTTGAAAACAGTAAAACATCTATCAAAAAAGTAAAAATAGTCACATTAAATATTTTAGTAAAAGCTATCCAATGATTTTAAACTCTATCTTCACCTCCAACCATTCTAGGGGGCAACTCTAAAATCTTGTGTGAAAGATCAAGTTTTGTATCATTAGATAGCTTTTTAAAAAAATATTGAAAGTGACTATTTTCACTTTTTCGATTAGATGTCTACTTTCTTGATATATTTGACCATTTCCAAACTTTTTTTTAACTATAAATACATAAATGTTACAATTTAAGTTCGTAATTACGAAAAGTAACTTTATGTAGACATAATAACTTTTAAGACAAGAATATGCACAATTCTAAATACATATATAAAGCTATTGTGTTTACATAAAGTTATTTTTTTGTAATAATGAACATACATTTCAACAATTAAAAAAAAGTGATTTCAGTAGTTAAAAATTTACTTAACATGAAACTTCGGTCAGATAGGAGAATATTGGATTTTATATGAACATATGGACAAAATGATGAAGAGAACATGATGACTATAACACTTTCTGATTAATTACTAATACTAGCATTGGCAAAATAATTGTGAATAATGATATTTGGGCTAAAGTAATACGGATAAAATTATTAATTCAGTATAGAACTACACAAAACTTAAATAATTTGAATTTATTTTGTCTGAAATGGAGAAATTTCATTTGAACTTATTTTGACACTGGAACACTTTTAGAATGTCCCTTAATTTAATACAAAAGTTACATGTTACAATTTTAAAAATAGAGTTGTTTGATTATTGTGTAGTAAGTTTCCAAATCCACTTTTGAAAAGCACTATTTTTCTTCCTAGAAAAAAAACAACAACTTGAATTAGAATAATTTTTAGTATCAAGAATTAACAGGTAATAATATATGTATATAAACTAATTATTGTTAAAAATTTTTCATTAAATAAAAAATACTGTTATGTTCCAAGGAATACACAGCATACTAATTTGTTATTATGTAATACGAATAATTCAAAAATTTTGATAAAGATATATATATACATATATTTTTTTTTCGTATTACTGATGGACTAAAGTGATAGTTAAAAAAACAGCTATTGCTCAACACTTTATTGCAAAACGTGATATAATTTGAGAGAGATATTCTAATTTAATGAGAAAATATTATATTGTGTGAAAACTAATTCAGATAATTAGGAAGCCAACATATAATAAGACATACCAAGGTGGGAAGAAAAAAATAAATTAATTTTGCATATTTTTAAAATTTTTTTTTTTAAAACACAAAAAGTTTTTATTTTTAACACAAATATTGCTTAAGAAATTGTTGAAAATTCTAAAGGAAGGGAAGAAATAAAATCTAATATTTCAAATACACAGCCTACAACTTACAAGGTGACGAGAAATAACTCAGTTACATATAATACAAGATTTTAATGTTTATAAAAATATTGCAACCAAACTTTCAAATAAACATGAAAGCATTATTACTTGTAATACATTTACAAATTTTCAAAATGACTACCTAAGGCCTCTATGTACATTACTGGTTCCATTCCTTGCACAAAAATTTAAACAATACAAAGACATTGTAAATACTTGGGGGAAAAAATCTCCCCGACTTTTTCAGACTGATCTTATACAATTTCTCTGATTTTTGCAACTGGGAGTATAAATTTTGTTATTAAGGTTTTAGTTATGCCTCATTCTCAACAGATAAAATGTAACACAAAATACTTATATAACATTAGTGTTGAAAATAAATGATTTTTTAAAAACCAATTTTTTAAAAAAATATATAAGATTTCTAGGTACTCTAAACCCAAATTGATTAATTTTCTCTGAATTTTTGGGTATTTTCGTTAAACTCTTTACAATTTTTCTGATTTTTCTAGATTTGTAAAATTTTGTTTTAAGGCCGCAATAAAACATTTTAAGAGCTTTAGCACAAACCTTTGTTCTTAAGATGGAGCCAATAGAAAAATTCATTAGATTCTTTCATTGCAAAAAAAAAATCTGGAAAATGTGCCTTGCACCATTCTTAAATGCATTTAGTTCTCTGTACTAGATCTAAATCCAGTAAAAAAGTTCATTTTTGGTTTCCAAGAAAGATTTCCAAAATGATAACAGTATTTGGTTTTAAACTTAGTCAATATTATTTCATCTCACAATCTTAAGTAAAAACAATATGGCTGGGAAAAAACTACTACCTGTCCAAGTAGTTGTAGAGGTCAAAACAAATGCTTTGCATCTGATATCAGACCAGCAAAGTTCAGAAGCCTCTTCAGCATCAATGACAGAAGTCATACAACCATAACCAGATATGGTTAATTGGCATCTATAGTCAAATTTTGTAGAAACATCTTTGTGAGAATACATTTTAAAACCTTAAAAAAAAAAAAGAAAAAAAAAAGAGAAATATATTTTATAAGCTTAATTATATTTTCAATTAAAAAATATACATACAGGCAGTATTTATAATGAATTTTTGCACAAATTTTGAAAGCATCTGTAATTTTGTACAGAACCTGATGATTGTAACATAATTTTACTGAGCAACAAGGATTGAGAATCATATAAAGTTAATCACACAGTGGTGTGATTAGCTTTATGATTAGATATATGATAACTTAACATTTAATTACTGGCAACACACATTTAACTGCTGGCGACACGCCTATGGTTAAAATTCGTAGTAAGATTTCCCAGTTACTACTTCTGATTAAAAAAGATGCCATCTTATATTCTTAGTGTACTGTTTACAATATGACTTATGCTATTTACCATTCATTTTTTTTTAAGTCCATCTAACTTTAGCTGATGAAACTGAAGATAACACTTAAAATATGGCAACCCTTATACTTTATTCATGTCATGATATTAATTTACTTATGCTATTTTTGGCTCCTGACCTTTTAGAATTTATAAAATACAGGAAAATCTTATGAATGGTAAAATTATGTGTAAAATTAAATACAAATGTCAATAATAAGACTTTCTAGAATTTCAAGCATGTTCAAACACTGTCTCTTGCCTTATAAATATTAATTAAGCAGAGAGATATATCAGAAGTTTAATATTCTCTTCAAGTTTGCAATTGTTCATACTCAGTTTCCCACCAATAAGATGTAGATGGAATTTTCACTTGTATTGGTAATGTACAGAATAAGATTTGTCAATCATAATTTGTACTTTATAGAATTAAAGTAACAAGTAAAATTAAATAATGAAAGAGGATAATTATGAAATAAAGATTATATAAATATAATATTCACATAAAGCAGAAAAAAGTTAATAAAGCCTTTTTTTATTTTAATTATACAGTAAATGTTTTACTATCCAAAATTCTAGATATTTGAGGACCGAAAATCTCAATTTTTAATATCTTATTTTCCAGAAAAAAAGCTATGCATTAAAAAAGAAAAAATATCACAATCAATACTTATAAAAAACTAATACAGATAAAGGGAGGAAAAACTATAATAGATGCTCAGAAAAATTCATAAAGCTACCTATAAAAAAATGTAACTGCAAAATAGTTGTCTGCAAAAATTATTAAAATTTGACAGTAGCAAAATAAAATTTAAATTGCAAATTGGGGACGGAGTACACAGGATGAACATAAAAAGAAAATCATACCATCCATTTTTATTAAGTAATAATGAATTTTTTGTTCATTTATCTTCCAATATTTAGATCTCTGACAATTACAATTACTTGAGCTTTCTTGTTAGCAGAATTTTAGATAGTCAGGCTCTTACTTTAAATTATTGGGTAAAATCAAAATATCATAATAATTTAAAGAGTTCTGTCTACAGGGTTGCCACAGTAAAAAATGAACAAAAATAGTTGCTTTTAGTAGCCTCAAGCATGAAAATAGTCGCATCAAACTATGAAAATAGTTGCCTGAACAGGAAAAAAATTTATCAAAAATAGTATCCAAATAACTAAAATTATAGCTTAATTTTCAAATGCTATTATTAGGAATGGGTGATGCCAGAAATTTTAAATCGTGATATATCGTCAGTTAGACATCACGATATAGTAATGTATCGCAATTTAGCATATGTTCAAAAATTATCTATGGGAGATCTTTAAATCAATCAAAAATAAATAAAAAGGAATAAATCTATTACAAAAGAAAATATTAATTCTAAACATATTCTACTATGACATCAATATCATTGTTTAATTTTTTCAATTAAATTAATAAAGAAGTTCAAGTAAAAGCAAACCCCAGCTTTATTTCATTTTTCTTAAATTAAAAATGATTTAAGATTTATTGGTTTAAAAATAATAATACTGTAACAAATTATTTTACATACATGCATTAAAAATTAAAAGAAGAAAAAAAAAGGGAAGTAGAAAACAAATCAAAGAAATATTCACTTTAGGAAGAAAAAATTTTTTTTATTATTTGTTGGAAAAAAAACACGCTTTTGAAACATCATTAGACTCTTTTTTATTTACTTATTTAAAATAATAAAAAGTAGTATTAACTAATGGTCAAATTCTGTACTTAATAAATGTAAAAATATTTTTACTTATTTATTATTATTTTCATTTTTGAAAATAAAATTGACTAAAGATCTATTTGTTTAAAAATGATACTGACTATCTAACAAATTATAAAACAAACAAGTATTGAAAGAATTTTAATAAAAATTTCAAAAAAATACTTTAAGTACTAATGTAAAATAAATTGGAAACCTCAAAACATTACAAACTTTTTATTTGATTCTAAAAAAAAATTTGTTTTAACTAAATAGCCAAATTTTCTTAAAACTTTGTTTTCATTTTCTCAAAAATAAAAGCAAATTAAATAAAGGTAAGCTTTGTTTTAATTTTTTTATAATTAAAAACGACTGAACATTTATTGGTTGAAAAACAATCAAATTATTATACTTACCTACATTTAATAAATTTAAAATAATTAACTTTTTATAACAAAGTTAAATACAAAATACCCCTATTAAAGTGTATCGCTTAAAATAAACAATAATTGAAAAAAATCAATGATTTGATCTATTGAGTTCAGAACGAAAATTTAAGATAACAGCGATTGTGCAGCAATCGCAAAGTAACAGTAGGTCTACTAAAAATAATTGATAAGAATCGTTATGAAATAATGCAGAACGAAACGATCGCAGCAAAAGTCTCACTGAAAATAATTTATAAGAAACCAGACAATTATTTCTGACGAAATTAAATGCACAACAATCGCAAAATGACTTAAGTCCCATTGAAAATAATCTTCAAAAAACGCAAAATCCCAAAGACAAAAATGGACATAAAGAAACTATGCATTGCGTTCTATATTACAACGATGATCCTCGCACGAAACCGGGAGTTCTAATTCAATTCGCTCTTCGTCATTCAACATCACGAAACTAACATCATCTTAATAGCAAAACGCTATCTACACCTCTGCAGCTAGACGAAATCAAAATCGTCTTCGTTAGTGCGGTAACAGCATTAACCTGGTCAAGGATCCTTGCATATTAAATCGTTAAACCGCAATTGTAATCTTATTCCGGCGGCTTAAATCAGATTTCCGATGCATCGCCTAAAACGAAAGTCACTACATCGGCCTACAGATATATGCGTTAAATCGATATTTCGCGATACATCGATTTATCGCCCAGTCCTAACTATGCTCCAATTAAAAAAAAGTTTTGTACAAATATAAAAGGTATACATAAAATAGGTACCTAAATAAAAGTCCTATTACAATAAAATATGAATGTTAATAGAAGGAAAAAACAATTAAAAGTAACAAAACTGCCCCTCAGAGAGAAAATATAACAAGTACTTAATAAAATCCAATGGAAATTTAAATTTTTGGCTCTTAGGACATAAATGATTGTAATAAAAGTTTGCTTTCTTTTGTTAATGTTCTGAAAAGTAACGTTCATTTTTGCAAACTTTGCCAAGAGTAAAAAAAGTCTCCTAATTGTCGCCTATTCCTGAAAATAGTTTCTTTTTTAGCCTTTTCAGGCAAAAAAAGTCGCCATAGTCGCCTAAAGCCGAAAATAGTAGCAAATAGTTGCATTTTAGTAGCCTGTGGCAACCCTGTGTATATTAAATTTATATTATGAAATACTCTCCCTAAATTCTAATGACTGACAATTACAATTACTTGAGCTTTCTTGTTAGCAGAATTTTAGATAGTCAGGCTTTTACTTTAAATTATTGGGTAAAATCAAAATATCATAATAATTTAAAGAGTTCTGTATATTCAATTTATATTATGAAATACTCTCCCTAAATTCTAATGAATCAAAAGTTAAGAATAAAGACTTAAAGAATTTATGAATAAAGACTTAAAATAATTTATTTACCTGATATATATCCTATTTTGGATACATTTCTGTACACTCCACTTTTAAAAATAGTGACTAAATTTTCCATTTGTTTTAAAATAAAATCAGCATCCCAGGAAGCAAATTCAAATGCTGTGCTTATTTTATGAGCTATAGATTTTAAGTTTTTTGGTGCTCCATGAGGCAGAATATATTTTATGAAATGCCTACCAGTTTTTATAATATTTAACTTTTCATTGAAACCTTGACATACATTATTTACACATGGTATACAAATGGAAGAGTTGAAAGATAATTGTGAAGAAGAGCAGCATGGTGAATTTTCACATCTTTGCTCTTGGAGCCCAATATCATCAACATCAATTAATTTAGGTTCACCATCAACCACAATGAACTGCTGGCGACGGAAATCATTTAGTGCAATTGGCTCTTCAAATGATGACAGGTATTTAAGAAGCCTTGATAAGCCTAAACCGATCTAATAAAGAAATAAATGAAAAAAAAAGAGTAAATTATGTATATGCAAATAAAAGTAATAAATTAATTAATCCTTAAATAGAAACAAATTATTTTTTTTCTAAGTACTAAATTGCTTGCATTTGGATGGTTCCAATGTTTCGTCACACAAATTAATTAATATATTTGTCAAAATTTTTTTTTTAAATATGTATCTAAACCTGAAATATCATAGTACCAAATGATAAAAATAATTTTATTCACATATATTTTATTCACATATCTGCAACATTATTAAATAATTTTATTCTTAAAAAAAATTAAAACATTATAATTTATAACTGCTTCCTTTGTCAAATATCTTAGAAGCCTTAATAAGTCTTAAGCTAATTGAGCAAACAAACAATTATGTGAATAAAAAATAATAAAAAGATTATTTATTAATACAATTAAAGTAATAAGAAATGCCTCATTCAAAGCACCAATTGGACTGGACAATGAAGCTGAATCTTTGAATGATGATGAGTATTTAATGAATGATTGTTGATTTAATTAACAAATTATGAAAAAAAAAAACTAAGACAAGTGTAATCATAACAATTGAATTGTTAATTGCAATAAAAATACAAGGTGAATTTCCCAAGCACTATTAGTGCTGAAAATCATTTTGTGAAATTGTACTTTTGAATGATGACAAATGTACTGCCTATCTATAGTTAAGGTACAACCTGTCTTTTTTGTCTAATTTGAATACATGAACATAAAAACAAAAAAAATTGAGGAATTAGCACTAAGCAGTTATTCCTTGGTTGCCACATAGAAAAAAAAAAAAAAAACTTCACTAAAAAGTCATTTATCAAAGAAAACAGTACATTGTAGTTTTTTTTTGTAAAACCTTTGTAGACAAGTTGCTGTTTTGAGTTCTTTACAGTCATAGGTTACTTCATTTCTAGTCTTTATTCCCCTTTTTGACCCTAAAAAACTTGGTTGGCAATGTGGAATATGATGCCACGAATGCATTGCTGTAAAAAGTCAACACAGTCTTTACTAGAATCCAGTTTTGAAATATGTCAAAGATAATTCTCCATATTAAACTGTAACATATTTTCTGTAAAGTTCGATTTTCATGTTTTAAGTTGAATAAATTTTAATGCGGCAATCAAGAAGTGTTTAGACACATTTCATCGAAATCTCTAGTTGTTTATATGTTTATTTGTTTCCAAATGAAATACGCAAAACATGTTGCAACCTAATTTTTGAAAAACAATGTATTAGACAAAAAAAAGAAAGAAAGAAAAAAAAGGTGAGAACAAATAATAAAAATTAAAAGCAATAAAAATTGCAATATCAATAAATCAAACAAAACCAATTAATCCTTGATCTTTGAAATCTATAATTAGTCAACAACTTGAATAAAATAAATAACTATAACAGTAATAATGTCAACTTTCATGAAATATTGGATTATCACGATCCGCAAAGATCTTCATACCTGCAATGGTTGAGAAGGCATCAAGATCAAATGAGTTTAAACTAAGATGAACTTCATAAAATTTTTTGCATCAAGACAGTTCAATAAACAATAAGAAATTGAGTAATTGATAAATATGACTTACTCTTAGTCTATCTTCCCATGATAACTGAAGGAGATTTATCACATTGATAGCTTCTCCGTATTCCTCAAAAATAGATACTGTGCGATGGGGATCAGAAAATTCTGGTTCAGAAGGAATACAGTAACCTAAAACCTAAAATACGAAAAAACAATTAATAAAATATCTACATAATTCTTTAAGACATAACTTTAATAATTACATAAACAATGAATTATAAATTTAAATATTCCATTTAACAAAACAAAGAAGCTTTAGCCCTCACTTAAGCAGCAAAATTATTTTTTGGGAAATTTTTTTCAATGAAAAAATGGATTACATCAAAATTCTGAGGAATTAAAATTTATAATTTATTATACAATCAATGGATTATAAAATTCAATTTTTCCCTTGCAATAAAAAAATGGCAACTGCATAGCTTTTCTTTGATGAAGCCCCCCCCTTTTTTTTAAATACACAATGCAAGTTAACTGACGTTAACTTAACTTCACTGAACTGATTTTCAGTTAACATTTCAAGTTAACTGAAAATCAAATTTCATCTTAGATTAATAATTTTTTATTAGATATGCATACAGTTATAGAAATGTGTAAATTTTTTTTAATACACTAATTTTTAGAAGAATGGCACTGTTTATAGAAAAATTAAAAATCTTTCTAAAATATGCAAGAAACTTCATTTATAACAAAGAGAAAAGAAAAAAAAAATCTTATGTTGTTCGGTTACAAATCTTTCGCACTAAACTTAGAAATTATTTTAGTGCTGGTACCAATATGCAATTCATCCTAAAATGTATAAAAAAAATAATCACACACACAAAATGATTGATGATACAGCCTCACAATATTAAATCATCATCACACATTTTCTGCTAAAACTACTTAAATTAAAATGACATATGTAATATTTATAGTAGTTAAAAATGATTATTTTAAATAACAACAATGAAGAGAAGCATTTTTGGACTCATTCATTCGTTTCAATGAATCTGTTTTTGCCATTTACCTTAATAATATTCTTGTGAGATATGGATCTTAAAAAAACTATTTCCTTCAAAAGTTTGGTTGCTGCTAATAAATAACAATCATATAAAAATCTATCTTCTTCAGCTAAGCAAGTCTTGATATCATGTCCCTCAATGTTTATAGTTTTTAAAGAGATGACTTGATTTTTTAATTGAACTTTGAATGTCGACTTTGTGTAGCCGGCAGCTAAAAATCTCACTTTATCAAAATGAAGCAAGGACGAACAATTCAGATCTACGTTTATGTTGTGGCTGAAATTAGAAGATGGCAGCAATCTCCACTCATCTTTTACACTAATGAAATTCTTCAAAAGTACATCGTAATAAATTGTCTGTCCCCATTTTTCTTGAGGTAAGGATCTGTGCTTTTTAATTAAGCGGCAAGTACCAACTCGTAAACACTCAGGCTGCTCTTCTTTTTCAAATATATAATAAAATAGAAGTACATTTACGATCATAAAGATTGCAATGCTAAATTTAAATGTAGTTGTGCAAATAGAAGAAATCTTGCGAGAAATTTTCGCAGGCATTACAATTTTATCCAGCAACAAAATTCATCTTGATTGTGCGACTGAAATTCACAAAGCCCTCAACAAACAACTAGAAATTCTATTTGAAAACCTATGTCATGAAGACTTCACACATTTTGATTTACTTCAACTAGGTTAAATAACTTAAATCCATAGACTAAGTCTCAAACATAATTGTCTAGTAAAATTATTGTTTACATTTTGTGATTCAACATATTTTGAGAATTTTATAACAGAAAGTTTGCACTGAATTTCTGAAACTTTTGAGTTCAATTTGCTTACTTGTACGTAAATCTTTTTTTGATATTTCCGAACAAAAACTGTCCAAACTAATGTGTAAGTCCTATATGACGGTAAGCTTAAAAACATTCTTTGTTTACATTTTAAATTAAATTACTTCATTTTATTTCTTTACGTTTCAAGAACTTTTACATTGCATAATATAGAAGGGAATTATTCTATTTCGAATTATTTTATTTTATCTTCTTTCGAGAGCTCTTATAATAAGATATGATAGCATGGATAAATTTATTTTCAAATATTTTCTTTAGTTATTTATAACATTATAATTGTAATCGTTTTGATCTTTCGATACCGAATCTATTTATTTTTTATTTTATGATGCAATAAATGTAGATCACAACTGTTCGGCTTAAGTGCTAATAATCCCTTGTCCTCTTTTCCTAATCACATTTAATTCGATTTATCGGTTTAACTTTCTTTTTCATTCTATACGGATTTCCTTGACTCATCCTTATTTGTGAATCTTTCTTCATTTTACTGAAGATTAAATTTTATTATTTTTCTAAATTAAAGCTCAAGGATATAGAATTTGAAAGTCTCTGAGTTGATAGATTTGATATTTCTTTATCTAACATTTATAAGATTATCTCTCAGTAAAAAATCATTAATTTTATAAACATGAGTACCAATGCCGGCCGCGTTCTCGTGTATGGTGGAAAAGGAGCATTAGGAAGTACCATTATATCTCATTTTAAAGCGTGTAATTGGGTATGTATTTCATATTAAATTAACTTTATTTTATGATTTTGTAAAAAATACAAAATATTTTCAATAGTACTAAAAATCTATGTAGCTAAATTAATATGTACTCTCTCATTAAAATGAGCAGTTTATTTTAAATGACCTTAAGTATAAAATACAGTAATTCCCCGTCATCTTCTTAAATAAAGCTATCTGTATAGCATATTCATATGGCGTAGGGCAATATTGTGATAAGTCATGCACTATTTGGAAATCTCGGTAGTTGTACACTAAATATGTTCTCCTGAAATTGTTGGAACAATTCTATTTCATGATGGGAAGTCTGGCTCATCATTATATTTCTCAATCTTTTTGTTTAATTAATTAAAAAAATTATGGAAAAAAGCAGCTGAAATAAGATTAAGAAAATGTATAGCTATATCAGAAGATTTTATCATTACTATTTTAAAAACATTTAAACAAATACTGATCAACTTATTTTTTGATAATGAAAGAGATTTTTCATAAATTATTAATATTCAGTCGTAATTTCTTATGTATATGAAATATGTGTTTTAATTAAAACTGTTCATTACCATTAATGTAAAGTACAACTCTTTCCATTTGGATAAGAGAAACTCATAATTTTTATGGCATTCCATAAGTACCAGCAATGAGATTGTTACACATTATACATGTTTGTGTAACTATAAAATTTAATATTATAAAATGAAGGTATGATTGTTGAAAAATTATGTTTAAGCTATTTTGATTGGTATGTAATAATTTTGTAAAATAAAAAATATGCTTTTGCAAAAATGCTCTGCACAAGATTCCCTATGACGAAGTTTCAGTCAATAAATTTTTGCCAAAGTATTGTAAAAATATTTCTGTTAAAATATAAATTTGTTGGCTGAACTTAGTTAAATAATACTTAAATTCAATAATCATTGACAATAAGTATAATTTTTTAAATATTTTTAATTCTAAATGATTAGAAGGTGGACAAAGAGAATGAATTTCTGAATTAAGAATTCCATAAATTTTCAAATCCAAAAAATATTTAAGAATAAAATATTTTTTCAATTTCTTATTTTACTTTTTCTTATATTTATTTCAAGTGTGTTGGTTCTATAATGTATATTTTTTGAGGACATTTAGCTATTGATAAAATTATTATTCTTTATGTAGTGGAACATATTTTCCTTATGCACTTGTTTTTTTTCTTCATTTTAGTGGGTAGGTTCTATAGATCTTTCTAGTAATGAGGAAGCACATGCTAATGTTGTTGTGAAACCGAGTGAATCCTGGACTGAACAGGAATCTGAAGTTATATCAGGAGTTTCAAAAATTTTAAATAATGAAAAAGTTGATGCAGTCATTTGTGTTGCTGGAGGCTGGGCTGGTGGAAATGCTGCTTCAAAAGGTATGTTTTGAAACAAATGTGTACTTATGAAATTTTTATTAAATTTCACAATTCTGTTTATGTATGTTCAAATCAACTGAAAGTTTGGAGTAAAATAGCTGTTTTTGAGTTGTTAGGTTATAGCTGTAAAATTAAAAAATTATTTTTCTTCTTAATAGCCTGGAATAATAATGTTTAATAAAACTTTTTTTTATTTGTGTCATTTTCTTTTCTGTTTAGAGGATTATATGGTGTTGCATTATTTAATTTTTACTTTACAGTAAATAAACAGAACAATTTCTAAAATAATTTATTAAGTTTTGGAAAAAATATTTATAATGAGACTCTTAGACTTGTTTTTATACTTTAAAGATTGTTTTAAGTTTTTTTGTAATTAAACTTATTTATGATTTAAAGAAGTAAAGAAAATTTTCTATGTTTTATAGTAAAAATGTTTTCATACGTGTGTAAATTGAAATTTTTATTTGTTTAAGTATGATAAAATATTAAATGCAAAATCTTTGGATGTTTGAATCTGCATATTATTTTTTCTCTCATTTTACCTGGTTGTTTTCCTGCTATATTCATTTCTGGAGCAAAGAGAAAAGAAATTTTTGAGCAAATTAATATCTAGTCAAATGTCATTAAATGAGGTTTTCTGTAATTTCTTTTTTTCATTACTTTCGTTGCTAATAAAGTTAAAAAAAATAATTTTTTATCTAAAAGTTTTTTTAAAAATTATTACATAATGTTTGTAGTAAAATAATAATATAATATAAGCAGAAAGTTGCATTAATGATAACATGAAATTAATGATAAATAATAAGTTATAAGATTCTAATCTAAACATAAATGTTTTTATTTTTATTTTTATAAAAGCTGTTTGAATCAGTAAGTTTTAATTATTTATATCTCAACTAAAACATACATTTAATATTTATCTGGTAAATTTTATAAATTTTCTATCAAAATTTATATTTAGATGGAAATTAATGTAAAGAAAATATATTGTTATTCATGATAATTTTATCTGATTACAATTATCACTTCCAGATCTTGTGAAGAATTCTGATCTTATGTGGAAACAGAGTGTATGGACTTCAGTAATCTCAGCTAAATTAGCATCAGAACATCTTAAAGAAGGAGGTGTTCTAACATTGACTGGAGCTAAAGCTGCACTAGAAGGGACCCCTGGTAAAAATACTTTTAAATTTTCTTTTCTAAAAAAATTTTCTCATAATTTTTTTTTCTTTAAAACGTAGCATTTTACTTATTATTTAGGAATGATTGGATATGGGATGGCTAAAGGAGCAGTGCATCATTTGGTCCAAAGTTTGGCTGCTCCTAAAAGTGGATTACCTGATGGAGCGACAACTTTAGCAATATTGCCAGTTACTCTAGATACACCAATGAATAGAAAGTTCATGCCAGATGCTGATTTTTCTACCTGGACACCTTTGACTTTTGTTGCTGAGTAAGTTAGAGAGTTCTGTTAAGATAGAGTGCATTCTATATTTTATTTGCTAATTTAGATGAAATATCTATTCAACCTTGTCTTATTACTGCTAAATACTATAATGATATTGCCCTTGAGGTGGCTGCAAGGCAAATGGGCTTGGTCATAAATGTACAGAAAACAAAATATATGTTATTCTCAAGAAACAGAGTCCCAGACGCCTATCCCGAAATAAATTCTTATAGATTTGAAATAGTAAGGAGTTTTACTTAGTATCAATTATTACCATTGACAACAGAATTAATCCTGAAATAAAAAACCAACTCTATTTGGCGAATAGGGCTGTCTATAGGCTGAGAAGATTTATTAAATCTAGGTTTCTTTCTAGAAAAACTAAAGTTCTTAATCTACAAAACTCTTGTCCTGCCTGTCTTGACATATGCTTCTGAAGCTTGGACAATGACAAAATTGGAGGAAAATTGTATCGCAACATTTGAGAGAAAGATTTTGCAGGGTATACTTGGTGGTGTAAATGAAAACAATAACTGGAGGAGATTTAACTTTGAACTGTGCAAAATTTATAAACAACCATTATTAATTATATAAAAATAAATACAATGAAATGGATCGCCCACGTGATTGGAATGAGTGACGGCAACACAATAAAAAAGATACTGCTTTTTAGACTCACTGGAAAAAGAAAGCCGGGAAGGCCACGGTTGAGATTGGCTGACTTAGTGGAGTCTGATTTTCTCGCAATTAATGAAAAAATTGGAGATCAAAGATAAATCGGAAGTTGTCATGGAAAAATCTTCAGAGGAAGGCATTGGCTCACATTGGGCTGTCTAGCCAACTATAATGATAATGACTATAATGATATAAAGATGACCCTAGAAAAACTTCAATAGAATTACCGTGAAATCATTGGAAATTGTTTTTTTTCAATAATTCTTTTATTTAAGAGTAATATCAGAGATAGGAAGTTTCTTCTGCAATAGAAAAGACTACAGGAAAAAAAGAAAAGAAAAGCATGGAACAGGTAGCAGGTTGGGTAAAAAACAGGTGTCTTCCTAAGTAGAATAAATTCTTTTTAATAAAGAAATATTAAGTATTAAATTGAAATTTTAAACAATTTTATAATTGCAATCTAGTTGAAACAAGAAACAATAGTATCGTTCCAAGTCATTTAATAAATTATTTTTAAATAAGTTAAAATAAAAAAGTATATATTTCAAGGGAAAAAATATATAGCTAATTTTCTTATAGAAATTTAAACAGTTGTAGATTCTTACAATGTTTGACATAAATAAGTATAGTAGAATTTAATTTTATTGTTATATAAAGAGTTTTTAACATATCCTAATTAAATTGTATATTATTGTGTTATACTACATATTGTACATTGTATTCATAAATACAAATAGCGAACTAATTTTCATAAAAAAATGCTAAGTATGAATACTGAAAACAATTTTTAGATTGTATGCTAAAGGTATATCAATTAATAATTTTATGCTTATTGTATTTTTACTTAGTTAATCATAAAATTCTAAATTAAGTATAATTTATAAACTAAACTTTAAGAATTTTTAGCCATAAACTTTTATTTACAAATTGCTAAATTTTTATCTTAAAATTTTGATTATTAAAGTAATTAAATGAATGATTAATTTGATAGAATTTTAAAATATTTGATTTGATTAAATTGACTTAAAAGCTTTCTTAATATCTTAGCTGAAAATTGCACCCAAACCTAAAAGTTTCATTTTAAAAATAAATGTTATAGCCATTGTTATTTTTTTAAAAATTCACATATTGACAGCTTTACTGTATTTTGCTTGTGATCTATTGATATAGTAAATTTAGGGCAAAAAATTACTTCTTATAGTTATGCTAAAAAAGTAAAATAAGAAAAATAAAATTACTAAAAAATACATTAGCCTTAAAAAATTGCGATGAAACTTTATGAACATTTGAATTTTCTTTTGTAAAAGTTAAAAGCTTTAATATTCTATCAAATATAATATAAATAGATCAACTAATTATACTGTACTGTATTAGGTTTGCATATAAATTCAAAACCAATTCTTTTAAGTTATCAGGGGTCTGTCCAAACCGAATTTACTACCGTTTAGCGGTACCTTCACAAATTCAACTTTAGTAAAAACGGTAGTTTCACAAATTTAATTTTAGGAAAAACGGTAGTTTCACAAAATACTTTTTCTTAAAATTTTATTTTTGTATTCCTTAAGACATGGTAAATCTATATTCTTGCCATATTTTTGTGTTGCATTTTTAAATATAATTTTTAATTTTTCACAAATTATATCTAAATTTTCACAAAATAGGTACCTCTCAGAAAAACCTAGACAGACCCCTGGTTATATAGATTCTCAAAAAATTAAATATATTTATTTTTACCTTTTTGTTTTACATTAAATTTTATTTCTTAAAAATTTGAACTATTCATTTTTTAGTTAGTGTTAAAAAATTCTTTTAGTCAACTTTAGTATGTGTTAATTTGTCCAGTTTTTTCTGTGTCCTGGAAGAAAGGTTTCTTTCGATCAAAATGCCAACCCTGATTAAAGTTATTTTTTTAATAAATTAAGCAATTTAAGGTTTAGTGCTATAAATTTATGGTAACTGTAATATACATTAAGTAATAAATCTTCATCATAGTGGAAGCTTCTTTTTAAAATTTTCATAGTTAGGGATGTAAGCTTAACAAATTTTCTCTAAATAATGCATTATTTTAAAAGAATTTATTCATAAACCTTATTTTTTGTAAGGGGGTTATTTTTTGTACTTATTTTTTGTATTTTTTTTAACCTTATCAATTGTATAGATACTTTAATTTTAAAATTCAGTATAATAATGCATTGTTTTCCAGTGTAAGGGAAGCAGGTTATTTTATTATTAAATTTTATATGAATGGAATTTTATTTTAAATGAATAATATTAAATGTAACTAGATTTAAGTCGAAGTAAAATTGCATATATTCCTCCAAAGCTAAAACTTCTCTTAAACAAAAAATATTCATCAAATTAAGTTTAGGGTAATCAAGTAATTTCTTTAGCTTGAAAGTTTTTTTTGTTTTCTTTTTTTTTGTGATAAGGTAGTAATTTAGTAAGTGCCATTACTGTTTGTTAAAAAAATGATAAGCATGATTAGTTTAATTTTTTTAATTGAGTATGTGAAACAAAATAATTTTAAAAATAGTGTTTATAATTTTTGAAACATTTAAATCCTTTTAGGTTGCTGCTAAATTGGGCACGTGGAAGCAATTGTCCAAAATCTGGCAGTTTGGTGCAACTTATAACTAAAGATTCTGTGACAGAATTGAAGATGGATTGAGTGTTAAAAATATATCTATTATATATTTGATGTGAGCTTTCAATGTATTGAGTAAAAATTCCAATCAGGAAAATTATAAATGTCAACAAATGATAAATTGAGTAAGATCTGAGTATGCTTGTTAATCTGCTATATTCATTTCTGGAGCAANTAGTTACTAAGGATGTTGAAAGCAATATATGTAGATGATGTTGCTTCTGTGACCTTTAAAATCTCTGCCTGTGATGTTTGTTCACTTGTGTTTATTTATGTTAATGTATTAATTCATATTCTTAAGATTTGCTGCACACACACACATCATTTATGAGACACAAGCCTGTGTGCTTAAGTCGTATAAAGGAAATATATATTTTAAAACTAAAGGAAGCTTTTAAAAGGAGAATAAAAACATAATTTTTATAAATTGTTTAATATTTGTTTGGATAATCAAGTACTTTGATCATATTATGGTATACATAAACTATGGCACAATTATTTCAAGCAAATAGGGTTCTCAGGGTGACACATCTAGATACGTATATATTTGTTATATAATTATTGTTTTTAATCATGAAACTAGTTTTAAAAAACTGTGCAAAGTTTTTTTTAACTAAAGTTTTTTTTAAACTGTCTTTGTCCTTTATGATTAAAATATCTAAGTATCAAATGTTTGAATATATTTTTTTTGCACCAAAATAAACATTCCTTATCATTCAATACCTTTTTTTTAAAAATCAAAATGTGTTCAACATTCCTAATCTAATTATGTTTTTAAAGAAATATTTTGATTGTTGCATTTTTTTAAATAAAGCTTTAAAATAATTTTAAAATTACCATCTATGTTAAATTTCATGTGTTAGGTATATAATTTTTTATATTGATTTAATGTATGCTGAATTCTAATGTAAGTAGCTTTCACCAAATTATTTTCTTTTATATTGATCACATCTCTAATTGTTTATTAAATATTAGTAGACTAGTTGCTAAAATAGTTTTTTCAATACATTAATTTTCAACTAACATATTTTTCAAAACAACTTCTCTTTCTTAATTTTCAAGGAAAAAAAATATTGTACGTAAGAATAAATAATTTTAAGTGCCAAAAATATTTTCTTTTATAAAGAACTTGCCTAGTAATCAATAAAACCTTTTTCGGTCTTATTTTTCATTGCTATTTTGTTTTGCTATGAATTTAAAGTGATTTATATTTTGAATATCTAGTAGATAAATGTTTTAAGTTTTCTGTGTCATTTAAATATATGAATGTTTCTTAATTGCAAATACCTAGATGTTATGCTTCCTTTATTGTTTTTATAGGTTGCAACTCTAAAACAATTGATAAGATTTATTTTAAAATTATTTTTTTCTTGTTGTCTGCTGACCTGTTAATTGTTACAAATAAAGAATATTGATGCATTCTTCTGGTAATTTTTTTCTATGTTTTTTTCACACCAATAAATTTTTATTAATTTGTGCAACTTGTTCAAATATGAAAATTGAGATCTATCTTGACTTGCCAATAAAACTACAGTAGTCTTGATATACAAGTTTCCTGAAAATTCAAGTTTGTGAAAAAAATCAGTTTTGCTCCCAAATAAAGACCACATGCACTTCTCTTTGGTCTTACAGCGATTTCGATTATAACGACTGAATGTTTAAAAATGAAATTACAGTTAGCGATCACATCAATGCTAAAGATTTGCCTCTGTTTAGCCCGATAAAAAAATTTCCAGGTTGCTAAAATACCGACATGACATTGGTACACGAATGGCTAAATAGAGATGAATGATTAGAATTTACAGATTCGGCATTATAGAAATTATCGAGGTTTCGGCAATGAAAGAGGACAATCGGTCAGATTTCGTACAACTAATGAGTCACAGAGTGGGTCTCGCTGCTNATCCGGATTTTTTCCGGAGCACAATCAGCCCTGGATTTCGTACAACTAATGAGTCACAGAGTGGATCTCGCTGCTCTAGATTTTACTATGTGATACGTGGAACAGCTAAAGAAAACATGCTACATTGACGATGGTGCGATTGTTGCTGCATGAAAAATAGAGTAGCGTGTTTAAATAAACACATTACACAATTATTTTAAAGTATAATTAACCTGATGTGGTAATGTAATAAATAATATAACTTGGTGTCAGACTTGGATAAAATGAAAAAACACAAAATCTCAAAAAACTTTCTGCACATATTGATTAACTCTTATAACTAGTTTCAACCAGTTCCAGTTTTAAAAATCAAGGACTATTTTAAAAATGTATGATTTTTATAGAACTTTATATTTATTTCAAAATTTCTAACGCATTATTCATAATATTTGAATTAATCTAAATTTTTAAACAATATTAACTATGCTTATGAATTTTAGTCTGGGATGTTAAATACTGTATTTCTCCAGTATTATGAATATAGAAAACAAATATTTACCAACAAAAAGTTATTAATACTTTTTAAATAGTGCGTAGTTAACAGATAGCAATATTATAGGTTGTTAACCAAAAATAGTTTTCTTACATCTTTTTCATTAAAAAAAAAAAAGTCTAAATTTAGTAAAAGAACAAACAATTCTGTGAAAGTTTCTCAAAGCCTGTCTATACTTTGTTGAAAATATGGTATAAATAGTTAATAAAAATTTATATTAAGTCTATTTTTCAATTATTTTTAAATAAAATACAATTTTACGATTTTTAAATGTGATGTTTTTAAACTGTGCAAAATTTAAAAACTAATTTCATCATATTTCTGGCAAAAATTAAACATTAGGCAGTGGATTAATTTATACATTACAGGATTATTTTTAAAAGTCACTTAGTATGTTGAATTTAACCAAAGCATTGGCAGAGACATCTATACTAAATATTAATCTTTATTTTATTACTTATCATCTATTCCTTTTTTTGTCTCAATTTTAATGAAAATTTAAAATAATTTTAGGAAAAAAATTTAAGCTTTCACCTTGAGAAGAAAAATTTGATTTAATAAAAACAGAAGGTGAAAAAAACAATGTTTTCGCTACATATTATTTTAAAAATTGAAAATTTTCTGACAAAATTCTGAACATTTTACTGTTTTGTTTAGATTTAGAAATTAAGCTTATGATTTATTTTAAATATTTAATTCTTCCATCATATTAGTGATTAGAATATCTATTGTTCAACAAAACAACAGGTTTCAAACCTTATCACAAAAATAATAAATAAGAACTGATACTTTATTTAATAGATTTTACAGTAAAATTTTTTGTACATAACTATGATCATAATATTAATTTCAATAGTTTACAAAAATTGAACTAGATTCATATGTGTTTTTAATTAAGTACATTTTGAAACATTTATTTTAAAGTCATTTTTGATTTACACAAAAATATTTTTTTATACTTATTAAGGTTTGGCAGGAAATATGGAATTGTGCTTAGAGAAAAGATTATTTCTTTTTACTCTATTTTCAATTGATCATTAATAATTTTTATTTTTATAGTTTGTTGTGGAATTTATCTTTCAAAGATTAGATTACTAGTTTCTGCCTCATGTTTTCTTTTATGTTTTTTCTTTTTGTGCGATGTTTCCACTTTTTGCACAGTTTCTGTTATAGTATCCTTCTCAACATTCAAATTTTGTTTTGGTACTTCTGGAGTTAGTGTTTGATAGAAACTATTATTGCATTCTTCTATTTCATGTTTTCTTTTGTGTTTTTTCTTCTTTTTGTGTGAAAATTCCACTTTTTGCACAGTTTCTACAAAAATATCACTACCAACATCAGATATTTCTATCAGTGTTACTGGATTTTGTGTTTCACAGAAGCTATTATTGAAGTCTTCTTTTTCATATTTGTTTTTGTGTTTTTTCTTCTTTTCATGTGAAGACTCAACCTTTTGCACAGTTTCAGTAAAAATATTGTTATCAACATTGGATATTTCTGTCTGTGCTTCGGGATTTTGTATTTCGCAGAAGCTATTATTGGAGTCTTCTTTTTTATGTTTGCTTTTGTGTGTTTTCTTCATTTTGCTTGAAGACTCAATGTTTTGCACAGTTTCTATAAAAATATCATTATCAACATTAGATATTTCTAGATTTTGTGTTTCATGGAAGTTATTATTGGAGTCATCTTTTCCATTTTTGCTTTTGTGTTTTTTCTTCTTTTTGTTTGAAGACTCAACATTTTGCACAGTTTCTGCAAAAATTTCATTATCAACATTAGATATTTCTATCACTGCTTCCAGATTTTGTGTTTCATGAAAGCTACTATTAGAGTCATCTTTTCCTTTTTTGCTTTTGTGTTTTTTCTTCTTTTTGTTTGAAGACTCAACGTTTTGCACAGTTTCTATAAAAATATCATTATCAATGTTAGATATTTCTGTCACTGCTTCCAGATTTTGTGCTACATGGAAGCTACTATTGGAGTCTTCTATTCCATTTTTGCTTTTGTGTTTTTTCTTCTTTTTGTTTGAAGACTCAACGTTTTGTACAGTTTCTGTAAAAATATCATTATCAACATTAGATACTTCTATCACTGCCTCCAGATTTTGTGTTTTATGGAAGCTACTATTGGAGTCTTCTTTTCCATTTTTGCTTTCGTGTTTTTTCTTCTTTTTGTTTGAAGACTCAACGTTTTGCACAGTTTCCGTAAAAATATCATTATTAACATTAGATATTTCTATCTGTGCTTCAGAGAACCTACTATTTGAGTCTTTTTCATGTTGCTGTTTGTGTTTTTTTTCCAGGTGAAATATTTTTATTTCTGGAGCTGCTTCTGTTAAAGGATCCAATGTAGTGCCTTCCGTTCTTTCCTCACCTACAATTTGATTTTTACTTGTTAAATTTGAATCATTAAATAGTTTTTTCTTTTCATGTTTGTGTTGCTTTTTCTCAAAAGGATATTGTTCCCTATGTTCTTCTAACCTCTCAAACATGGCTACAAAAAATCCATTGGTGAAACATTTGTCTGGATACGCTCTTAAACAATGAGACCCAAACTCAAAGTTGTTTGAACCCCTTATTGACCAATCAGGAAGTACAGGGCTAAGTTTAAATCTATGGCTGAAATGATTTAAAACTTCGTGAATAACAAACTCATTTTCTGTTTCAGTTATTGAACAAGTAGAATATACAACTCTCTTGACAGAAGGAAAAAGTAGAGCATGCTTCAACAAAATGATCTGAAACCCAGCCAACTTTTGAATACGCAAATCATTTTTAGACTCTTTGGTATCAGTGATGTAGTCCATACGATTAACCATACCGGATCCAGAGCAAGATGGATCAAGAAGAATGTATTCAACTGAAGAATATTTTTCATCTCTAGGATCGACTGAGTTAAAATCACCACAAAATGTTTGACATATATTTGCATGACCTGATTTTAACATTTTGTTTAAAATTTCAAAGCGTTGTTGGTCTCTTTCACATGCATAAATCACACTGCAAAAAAAGACAAAAATTTTCTATTATTGTAATAGAAATAATTAAATTACAAACAAATGTTGTAATACACTTTTGTAACAAATTGATTGATAATAACAACCAGTATCACAACATATCCATTAAGCCACAGACACAAGGAAGTCATACAGCTTAGAATAGTGTATAAAGTAAAATATAATGTATTACTCAACGTTGGAAACAAACTAAAATATATAAATATTTTGGCCCACATTTTTTATTATATTGACTCATGCATTTTATCTTGTCAATTACAAAAACTTATATGTAACTGCATGTAAACTTATATGAAACTTATATGTCATATTGATTTGCTACATTAAATAGTTACTCGCTTTTAACATTCTATAAAATTTTTTTAAAGACATGCCATTATTAATGTAAATAGTATGTTAAAAATAAAAAATACCGAGAACAGGTAATAAAACAGTTTTCTCACAATCTAAAGTATAAGAATCCATGAATTGTAATTCACCAAAAATAGAAACTATTCACAACTAATATACAAGATTAAAATAATACAAATATACGTGTTTTTTTTTTCAGTTAAAAACTTATATTTTATGGTTATATTTTATAGTTTATTTGAAACAAAGGTAAAAGAAATATTTAATGTCTTAAATTAAAAGCAATTAAATCATTAAATATTTCATAAAAATCCTATTTTACAATTAATTATTTTTTTTATAAATGATACAATAACATGAACATGTTCCATAAATTTATGTATAGTTTTATGCTAACATGATAAAAAATAATAAATAGAATTTTAAATATCCTAATACATTACCTTACATCTTTATACAACATGCAAATAAAAATTTTATGCGTTAATATTAGATTAGAATGTCTAAATGTTGTATAATGCATGTAACAGAGATATTTTGCCCTCCTTGCTTGTCAGTATATATAGAAATGCCACATAAATAAACTGACAAATTTTCATTACACTTCTTATTACAGTAGAAAATTTTAATCATTATTTAGTTTCAATTTATATTATACTAATATTTTTCAGAAATGTAGTGATACTTAAATACTTGAAAATTACATTTTAATGTTTATTCAAAGTTATACATAGTCACAAAAGCAATTAAACTCAAAATTGGAAGGAAAAAAAATTTATGTAAATTTTTCATTTATTTGTATTGAAACTAAAGGTATTTATGTGCACGAAAAAGGAATTAATAATTTCTGAAATTCTTTCTTAAAACTAAGCTTGTTCTTTTTCCCCCTCAGAAAAACCATTTAGTTAAAGCAATGGTTTAAACTAGTCTGCCCTGATAATATATTAAGGAAACTAAACAAATCTTATAAACAAAATGAAGTGAAATGAATTGTTGCGTAAACAAGAACATTTTTTATTAATACAGTAGAGAACCATTTATCCGGTATCCAGATAACCGGGAAACCAGAAAAAATTTTGATCGGTTTTCCCGCCATTTTAAACTAGAACGATTATGAAAAAAAGCGGAAATTGAACTCATCCTTGAAGTTGAGAAGAGGAAAATGTAAGGAAGGGGAGAATTTTTTCCCCCGTTTACCCAGAGAAACGTCATTTCCTCCGTGACCTTGAAGGTAGGGAAGGGAGGAATGTTTTATTTTCTCCTTTAGGCCGTCAATCAAGCTCAAGGGTGTGGCATGCTGATTTTGCTTTCTGTTTGATTTACGAGGGGGGTGGGGAAAATGCATTGCATGCATATCAGTGAACAGAAGATGAAAGAGAAAAATATATTTATCTATTTGACAATGATTAATAAAAATAAAATCTTTTTCTTCTGAATAAATTCTCATTCTTTGAAAGTGTGGTATCATTTGCAAGTTTTCATTGATGTGGAATCACACCTGCTGTAATTAAATATCGTGTTTTTATCAACAAAAAAAAAAAATAAATAAATAAATAAAAGGAGAATTGTTCATTAATTTAAACATAGGATTATTTTATGAAGCAGATTGCAGTTTTGTTTTTCTGATTCCACTACATTTGATTTTTTCTTCTTTTAACGATAAATTTCGTACTCAATAAATTAATTCTTCTTATTCATAAATTTCCTCATTAGGTTTTTTTTTAAAATTCCGTTGATCTTGCCTTGTTCCGGGTTTTAATATTTATACTAGAGCCTTTTTTAACTATCCTTTCGGTTCTATAATTTTCAAGTGTTTTTATTTAGATTAATAAATTTTCCTTTTATTTTATCGTTTCCCCTGTATAATTAGGTATGAAATATATTGCGCTATTTAACCATTGGTTTTGTTATTATTAGTTAATTTAGAAATTGTAATTATTTTTAAAAAATAAATACGAGAATTTAGTATTTTTTAAACTTGTTTTTCTTGTCTAAACTTGCAATTTTTTTATTCTTTTAAATGTTATTTTTCTACGATTTTTTTTTCTTTTTAAAGTTAGGAGTACCTTTCTTTTTTCTCTTACACTATGCATTACACTTTTTCCTTGTAATTCGGGTTCTCAACATTTTGCACAGTTTNAGTAGGGAACCGATTATCCGGAACGATCGGGACTATCGCTATTCCGGATAACTGATTTTTCCGGTTTTCTGAACCGCTACAAAAAGCAGTTTTTTTTATTGTTAAACCCACCTAAAAAAAAATTATTTGGAAATAATCTTACAAAGAAGAAAAAACGATGAAGTAATACAGCAATGATTATTTCTAAAATGATGGTATGGTAAACATCTTTCAAAAAATAAAGAAAAATCCTAAAATCTTATGAAGAAAAAAATTCTTTTTTAAAAAATGGCGGGAAAATGTATTGAATTTCGTTCCGGTTTTTTGGTTTTCCGGTTTTCTGATTTCCGGATAACNCGATGGTCCCGAGCATCCCGGATAATTGGTTCTCTACTGTACTATAAATGTATTTCAACAACACACCACCCTGCCACACTTTTAGTGTGGCTACTCTTATTTTTCAATAAGGCTGGAAGCTCTTAACTGAGTGTCATTGGGGCAAATAAGAATAGGCTTTCCCTATTTATATACTTAAATGCCTTTCAAGAATCAAGGCACTATCTTACTTGTGTAATTTCTGGAAGTTTTTGGCATTACTGTGATGATATAGTAACAACACAGATGCATTCAATGATTTAGAACTTATTTATTTTAGAGAGCCTTGAAGAACCTATTATCACTTCATCTATATAAGTATATTAAGTACTCACTATCACAGCACTTGTAAGCTATTACTACAATATCACAAGTAATACCTATTAACACAATTAATTAAGCATAACTGGAGTTACGATAAGTGATTTTTTTACAGCCCCCCCTAAATGAATGAGTTATAATAATTTTTACAATTACTAATGTGAAAAATGCATTTTTTAAATTACCTTCAGCTTAGTATTTTGTACAAATAGTAAAGAAAATAAAAAAATAGGACACCAAGAATCAGGGTTGCCACAGAAAAAAATGAACAAAATATAATTTCTTTTAGTAGCCCAAAGAACAAAAATAGTTGCGTAAATAAGAACAAAATTTTTTTAATAATATGACTAAAATTTTATTAAATGACTTAATTGTCATATACCATGATCTATTTAGTCAAGTTGGTGGCAAATTTTTACATAAACGTTAGCGTTCTAGCACTAAATTTTTATAAAAAATTAGTATATTTGCTGAAAATTGAATACTTTTAATTAGCGGAATTCATTAAAAAAAAAAAAAAAAAAAAACTCTTTTTCAATAAAAAAACCCTTTTATCAATAATTGCCTTAGCAAATAAATAAATAAATATATATATTGAAAAGTGATGACTCAAATTTGCATTTTAAAATAAATTTATTTTTTAAGAAAAAAAAAATAAATCATTGTGTTAAGAAGCTCCTGCAGACTGCAGGTTGTCAACCCAATTTATGCAAAAATGTGATGCGATGTCACCTCAGGCCAAAAATAGTTTCAAATAGTCTCATTTCAGTCGCTTGTGGCAACCCTGATGGATGCAAGTATTTAAATTTTTATAAACAATCCGATACAACTTATAAACAGATTATAAGTCTTAATTGTTTCAAAGGACATAATAGTAAATAATAATGACATCAAATGATTACCCATTATTCTCCATTAAAGCAGTTAAATGCAATGTCTTCATTCCAGGAGCAGCACAAGCATCTATAACAGTAGCACCAGGAGGAGGAGCCAAGACATAAGCAGGTATATAGCTAGACTAAAAAATAAATAAATAACTAACCAGTTCACTTGCTTACAGTAAAATGCAAACATTATATTTTGCACAAAGATAGATAAAAAATTTCAAAAATGTCAAATTAAAAATACTTGAAAATTACCTTATCTTGAATAAATACATGTCCTTTCTGATATAATGACCAAGTTGTTAAGTTTTCCTCACTATTAAATACTAGGAGATCCTTAAAATGGTAATCAAGTAGAAAAGTATTCTTTTCCAAATTTTTGATTAATTTGTAAAACCTAAATAATTAAGAATAAATATATATTTTTTTATAAACATAAATAATTATTATCGCAATTTTCTATGCATTCATTTAACATATTTATAACATAATTTTATTACAACAATCAAAAACATTTATGTAACTACTTANATAAATAATTATTATCACAATTTTCTATGCACTCATTTAACATATTTATAACATAATTTTATTACAACAATCAAAAATATTTATGTAACTACTTAACATATAAATATTGTCATTTTGAATCATTTCAAAGTTTAGATCCATAGATCAACTTTAATTTACTACCTGACTCACAGCAATGAGATCACAGAGAAGAATTTATTAACTTAGGAGTCTCTTAAAATCATATCATAAGCATTACCTGTTAAAAACTTCATTCACTTAAAAACTACACAAATGGAAAATAACAGTAGACACGTTTCAAGTGCTTCAAAAATAGGCGTCTATTTACAAACTTGTCCGACGTGAATGAAAAGAAACAAAAATTATTTGAAATAAAAAGAAGTAAAGCTACCAACAAAAAAGATGAAAAACAAAACGAGAAAAACCACAGTAGCAGAGAGTGAAAAAATATGAAAAACAGAACAAGGAAAACCACCCCCGAGAGGGGAAAATCAGAGAAAACTGCAGTTTCATGTGCTATGGAGAGGTGGAGAGGAACTAATATCATTAACAAGGGAATCAATATTCATATGAATAAAACAAGATTCTAGGGCATCAAGATGAGCTGATGTGACTGGGGTGGAAATAATTTTGGCACTGTCAAAATTGAATTTATGCCCGAAATTCCAATAATGTGCAGCAATTGATGATTTCTTGAATTCTTGATAACGGACTGTGGTCGCTGTGAACTGGAAGTAGAATTTGTATCAACCAGCCATTGTCAGAATTCAAATCTGGCACTTCTTATTGGAAGGCAAATGCTCTATTCTCAGAGAGATACCTTGTAAATTTGAATCAATTTCATTTGTTCTATTTTTACCACTTTTGCACAAATTTTCAACTTTTTGCCACTCTCCAGGCAAAAATCTAACTCTGTTTAAAAACCTTGGTACCATTGGCTGAAAAAATACTCAAGATAATAAATATAGCTAATCATACATCAATTATCATGTGAATAAAAAATGACCAAATCTCTAGATCAAAATCTTGCCATCTAAAAGTACTTAATACTAATTCTATCTGGAGTTTTACACAATTGATCTATCTGTCTCAAGGCAACTAAAACATTTTCATAAGAAAAAAGCCAAGAATAAATAAAATAAAAATGGGATACCATGAATCATTGCACCAAATAATTATTGAAGTTTTGCACCAAACATTTTTTTTAAAAAAAAGCTTCCAAGTTGATAAAAGGCCATCACTGTGGTCACATAATTAGCAAATTTTTTTAAAATCAATTAAAAAATAAAGTTTGGAATGTAAAGTAACAGTTTAAAAAGATGTGTTAAGCTGACATTTAGGTTTCTTGGATCTTCAAAGAAAGTCATAACCTAACCTGATGTCTCATAATAATTTAGCCCAAAGATTTAGTTGAAAACATGCAAGGGATTTTGCTTATGTAAGTTTTCATGAAGATCAAAATATTACAATTATAAATAATTTTTTATTGCTACTTCACACAAAAAACTTAAGATTTTTTAACTTTTTGGATAAAACAAATAATTTTTAATACGACTAAAAATGTTTGGTAAATATGACTTAATGTAAAAACTTTCTACCAGCTTAATATTTTAAATTACAAAAAAAAAAAAAACTCTTGTGATGTACACTAACATTTATAAAAGATATTATTCTCTTTATTCTAAACTCCGATTTCAGATTTATCACCATTTCGATCATATTCAATTCAAAGAATAATTTCAATTAAAATGCATTTAAAATTTTTTTAGTAAACAATTAAAAATATAAGCTGTTTATTGAATGAACAAAATAATGTTGACTTACTCTTCTTCAGAAATGTTGGCATCAAAAACTATTTGTTTCACACCTAAACATTCAAGATCTTCTAAAACTTCAGGTAATGCTATTGCTAATGTATTCACTCTTACGTACTTTGGAATATATGTTAGACCTTTACAAATAAGAAATAATAGGTATAAGTAAGTAACAACAGTTTTGTTACAAAAAAAAAAAAAAAAAGTAATGTATTAAATCACAATAAAATATATAAGTAAGAATTCATACTCAATTTCTGGAAAAAAATTCATTAACTACAATGATATCCATAGCAACATAATATATCAGGTAAGAACACATATAATTAATATTTGTGGACAAAAATAAATAAATGAAATTTTAATAGCATGAAAAATTAAATATTACCCTCAATATCAATATAAAATAACTACTAGTCCCATATCATAACCAGTGACATAGAACACCACAATATATTTAGATATTGATGCACCTATAAATCAAACTATCAAGCTTAAGTCATTTCATAAATTTAGATTTTTAAACTAAAGATTATTTATCTTAAATTGTCTAAAAGTCATGAAACAATTAAAAAACTTTTACCTTTCATTTAAAATTGAAATTATTATTGAATATTCATGCGATTAACATTTGCCTCTTAAAAATATTATTCAAAAACATTACAGCAAACATAGATTTTTACTAAGTTTTAAGTAAAGCTTTTTTCTAACAGATAGTTACATCAACAGAAATGGCTTTATGAAACATTTGCATTGAAAAACTGATAAATTTTACTTGACAGGATTTAAGTAAAAAACATATGACATATTTGGGGAAAAAAAACCTCTTGGACCCTTTTTCATGTTTTTAACTTCTTTCTTCACCTTTTTAGCAAAAACTTTTATTTCCACTAAGTTACGTTTATTTTAAGTCCCTTGAGTTTTCCATGTTTCCTTTGAACCCTGTCTCTTTAAAACTGGTAATAATGAGCAGTAAGCATATGGCTCAGGGCTCATGACATCTCCAATCCAACTTAAGCAGTAAAATAGTAATAATAAATACGGTAAGTAGTAATAGTAAAATATGAGTTTTGTAGTTTTTCTTAACAAAAAAAAAAAGATATTAAAGAATTCATAATAATATATAGTATGCATTTAACACATTGATTTGCAATTTTACTTATTAATATAATATGATGCAATAATGAATATATATAATAATGAATGTGTTGAAAATGTAAGTAGATAGTTTATATTATAAAAAATATGCTCATTCAAACAGTGGAATTTCAGTTTTTAAAACTATACCCATTGTATTTTGTAAAAAGGCAAATATTTAAAAAAATACAATATTGTATTGTAATACAAAATAACTAATCTTTTTACCATATCAAGTATGCAAATGAGTAAATGAAATTTTAGTAAGTCATTGATAAAGTGATGAAAAACTAAACTCAGTGATGCAACAGCTCCAGAAGGACATCATAAAACTTACAACAAGAATTGCCCAAAATCATAATTTAGAAAAAAAAAAAAAAAAGATTTTGATTTAATTTTTTTTTTTTTTTTAAATTTACAAACTAAAACATCTGATAAGATGTATTAATAATACTTAATATTAAAAAACAATTATTATGCTTAAAATATGGTTAAATTATTAAAAGCTAATCATCAAATAAATAAAAATCATACCTTGTTTTTCATGTTCAATTTACAAATGCATTGGAACATTGGGAGACTATTTGTCAATTATATATTTAATGAAGAGTAAATTAGTTTAGATCAGAAAGCATAACTGTAAAATTACTTTAAGTTACTCTGGTTGATATACACAAACTATACATTTAATAAGTTTTAAAAGCACCGAATTTAAATAAGCATGAAACTAAACGGGTGTAATTAAAAAATGTTTTTCCAAATAATACTTTGCCAAGTATTCCGGAACAGGGCCAAAAAACCAAATATTCGTCACATCCCTAATTTAAATCATGCAATCATGACAACAACTAAAAACTATACTTCATTAGGGATGCACCAAATACCCGATTTCTTTTTCGTATTCAGGTTGTTTTAAGCAATTATTTAAAAAAATTCACATCAAGCTGAGTTTATACTCATCAGTCAAACATTTGGCAAATAAGTGGATACTTAGTATTTACCTTTCATTTTGCATACAACTCATTAAAAAAAAAAANTCATTTTGCATACAATTCATTAAAAAAAAAAACAATTGTTTGATATTAAATTCTCCAGTTTTAAACTTGAAAAACTGTTAATATATTTTCAAAATGAACATTTAAATCAGTCTATCATATAATTTCCTGTTGCTTTGATAATTTTTTTTAAACATCAATAATTTTTTTAAAAGTCATAACTAAAAACATTTCTTCTTAGTCATTTTATTGCAAGAGTTTTACAATCTCATTAAATGAATAAATTGAAACTTACTATTATCGAACAGACTATTATCAGACTTTAACTCATTGTATGCTTTTTCAATTTCAACTTGATATCTAAGTACAGTTTCCACTGGTTTACTTTTTCCAGGTAAACCATTCCCAAAAATCAGCTCATGAATTAATATGCCAGCCAATTCCTTTCTCAAATTTGGTTCTTTTTCCAAGACTTGTGTTTTTTCAATTATTGAATCTAATAGACGTCTTTGTTTTAGTACATTGAATGTTAAACCTGATACCTTATGAAGCACCTAAAAATGAGATGATCCTTTTAAAAATAATAATAAAACAAAAAAAAAGTACTTTGATAATGATCACATAAAAATATTTGTTATAATTAGAGAACTTAACACATTTAAATTTGGTGCACAAAAATAATTTGGCCTGAGAGCAGAATTATATTATAACAAGAATTTTTATAATTACAAATATTTTGCAGCTATTGTCAACAAACAAGTCTCACTGATAAAAACCATATTTTAAAGAAAATTAATTTTATATTGCTAATTAAAATTACAAAAAAAACCTTAATATAAAATTATGTATAAATGCCAAGCATAACAGCAAAATGAAAAAAAAAAAAAATTATAACCAAATATAAAATTTTCTCAGCGACTTTGACATGATTGTTCTGCAACGACAGGATTTTATGTAGTTTTGCTCCAATAATTATTTGATCTTGTGGAGCATTGATTATTCTGCTACTTATTTAGAAATGTTGTGCTTTAGGATAATGAAGTATTATTAATTATTAGATGGATAAAACAGCTGTTAGTAACAACATATAATAAGGATAATTTAATGATAGTCGAAACTAGTATCCTGCAATTTTTACCAAGTCACAATTATATTTAAAAATGCATGATTTTAAAATTAATAAAAAAAATATTGGGGTATTCCTCTCTACCAATTATGACTATATTGCAGCTAGTCATTGGATCAAGGAAAAATGTTAATTAAATGAGTTATTAAGTATACTGAAAGGCAAAGCCTAATATAAATAAAATAAGAATCATTAGTATTATTTTGTTTCGGGGTGTAGAAGCAAACCTCATACTACACTACTTATACTATTTTATTAGGTATTTATTAACACAGTTAATTAATCGCCGGCCAACACATGTTTGAAGGCTCCCGAAAAACATTAGTGCACATTAATTTAATGACCGTCGAAACTATTACTCAGAGAATTTTTGCAGGATACTTAAACAAGGGGAAATTTAAGCAAGCACTATTATAAAAATAATGTAATTTTTTTTTAATAGGCACTTTTTTCGTATTTTTACATTATTTTATAGCCTACAAAATTTTTTCATCAGTTTGAATAACACTTTTATTTGCTTCAATATACGAATAACATAGTACTTACTGCGCCACGTAACTTTGAATTATTAAGCACGGTTTTAACATTAGCTTCGCATCTTTTAACGATATTTAAAATTTTTTCAACTTCTTTATAGCTTTGAGGTAAACGTTGTTCTTTAGTTAAGTGAGATCGGCGATGATTTTCTTGATTCATTTCTTAAGATTTTCTGAGTTTATATTCTAAATAGGTGGAAAATTCATTAAAGTTTAAAATTCAATTGAATATTTAATTCTTTAGTGATCTTTGAGATACAATCCATTGCATATTATTCAATCCACATGCGTCTTTGTTTACTAAACAAAAATTTGCTAAGTAAAAATTAGATGTTTTTTACGTAAAAAAATATGCCATCTAGAGTAGCCGAGAGACTCCGGGATCTAAATAACTTTTGGAGGGAAATACTAAGGAATTTATAATTTTTTTATGAAGACTATCAATTTATTATAAAAATGTTGCTTCAACGAACTTTACTTCTCATTAATTTTGTACAAGTTCGTTTAAATTGCATGATTTTCAAAATTGCTTTTTAGCAGACGCATTATTTAACAAAAATGAACAGTTGAATGCGTTTCTAGTGGTGATATACAAATATTTACTTTTGGATGACATTCCAGGAATTAATGGATTACTCACGATTATTGCATTAAACTGACCTTTAAAATCAGCACAATATTTAATAATGAATTTGAAGTGATATATGAATAGCTCGTTTCTCATACCGCTAATAAAGAAAAATGAACAATTTGATTTTTGCTACTTTATTCCTTTTAAATATTTTTCTTCCCATGTCTGAGTAACTTGTAGATATGGGCAATGCTTTTTCTAACTGCTTCTGCAAAAAACATCGTATTGGTTCGATGAGGTATGTTATAGGTTTCTTTTAAAAAAATTGTATCAAATTACATTTAAAAAAACAAAACAAAATGTAGCGCTATGTAACAAGAAAATCTTTTCTCATTTTATCTATTTTGAAAAGATATTTTATTATAATCTTGATATTTGCATTAATGTGTTGCATAAGTTATTGGTGTTGTGAAAAGCCTAATTTATTTATTTCATGATAATAATTTTCTATACTACTATTTTAATGTAATAATTTTTTAATATTTGGTAGATTAAATATTTTGTGTGAAGGAAGCTGATTAATTATTATTATTATTAAAGTAGATTATATCAAGTTATTTTTCTTTCCCTAATGTTACTACTGATGGGATATGATATCAAGGTGTTTGTAAATTAAACATTTACCTTAAATTTAACATTTACCTACCTGTTTTTGAAGATTGAGATAGATTTTAAGTTTCATTTTATCACAGTTTCACATGTTGAATATTTCTAGATTTAGTAGTTACCTTTAATTATATCAAAATTAAAAACTAATTGGTTATCCAGATGTAATGTTACAATTATTACTATTAATGTTTTTTAAATGCATGTGTGTAAGTGAAATTTATTGAATTTAAGACATGACATTATTTTACTTTTTAGGTTGATTGAATTTCTTTAATATTAAATATTCATTAAAAAATTTAATTGCTTTCAGGGATATCACATTGCTTATGATTGGACTTGATAATGCAGGTAAAACCTGCACAGTGAAACACCTTTTAGGAGGTATGATAAAAATTTATGATTGTATTGGCATTTTTTTTATTTTTCCTGCATGGGTCAGATGTCCCCTTGCAATTAATTAATTTTAATATTTTTATCATCATATAAAATTTTCACCCAAAACATTTATTGAAAATTAAGCAAAAATCTAACCATTAGTGCTAACTAATTAATAAAAATTATTCATCAATAAAACAATTGAAAATTTTTAAAAACTAGGCAATAATTATTCAATTACTATTAAAATTTTGAAATACGCATTACACATTCAATTTTTATTTTACAAACCTATTTTTGCAATTTTAAATTATTAATTTATTTACCATTAATATCCTAAAAAAGTTTAAAGAAAAAACATTTATTGTTTTGTATGAAATGAAATTGCTTAAAAATGAATGACTTCTTAATTTTGTAATAAATGTGACATAATTTTTGGCATTCATAAAATAATTGCTAGAGTGCTCAAATTTCCTAATGTGCCTGATGACTTTATAAGTTTTTTCTTCTTTTTTTTTCGTTAGTTTGAAAAGCATAATTTTTAAATTTTTTTATTTTATTTCGTATCTGGGTATCATTGTCAGAAAATTATTCTCTTTTATAAATAATTTCATTTTGAAAAAGTTGAAAATCTATAAATACTGTTTCAAGGTAAGTTACAATAACTTGATTTTTATAATTTTTTTTTAATCCCTTTTCATATTGATAAAACATGTACATGTACATTCTTACCTTAAGGCAAAAAGTCATAGAAAGACAACAGAGTAACTCTAATATATGACTTAATCTCTATTAATTGGTAGAGTATAAAATAATGTAATGAATTTTTTTCTAATTAATGGAGTTTTTGTTACATTGCTTATAATAGTAAAAATGTTCCAGACTTGAGATAACTTTTAAAAATAAACTTTTACTTTCAGACGTGGATTTGATAGTAGTAGCACAAAATTATCCTTAATTTTCAATATTTTTACTTAATCCTAATTATTAATGCAAGATTTTATTATGGTTTTTCAATATGCTAAATTTTATAATTTTTCCCTCTTTAGAATCAACTGCTGATGCTGTTCCTACCATTGGTTTTTCTAGCATTTCTATAAAGGAAGGTAAAAGTCATATAACTATTTATGACCTTGGAGGTGGACCAAAAATTCGGGGTATATGGAAAAAATACTTCGCTTTAGTTCATGGAATTATCTTTGTTGTTGATGCTAGTAATCCTCAACGATTTGAAGAATGTAAAAATGAAATCAGAAATGTTTTGAAACATGATAAAATTGCTGGGAAACCAATGTTGGTGTAAGTACTTGTGAATAATATTTGTTAAACATCTTTCTTTGACAGTTTTTTTCCTTTTATAATGTTCTTTACTGTCCAGATTTTCTATTTTTTACATGTTATTGTATTTTATGATGGCTGTTGCATATGTGTTGTTCAATAAATGTTTATACTATTTACATCAAATTTTATTAATTTAAAAATTTTTGATAGAAATCTGGTTTTGTAGGTAATTTTGGCAAGAATGAATTACAATTTATTTATTGAACTTGAATTTTTTATAATCGTCCTTGAGCCGCCACCCCAATTTTTTGGGTTTGAGACTATTATTGTTCAACTCCCTTGCCTTGTAATTTTGAACACAATCCAGAAGACAAGGGGACTCCTGGACCAGAAATTTGGCTTTGTGGAGGACAAATTGATAGAACTAATCCGCATTTGCATTACATGGTGAGGAAAACCACGAAAACCTCCCATGGTTAGCCTAACAGCAAGAGGACTTTAACCCATGATCCGTCTACCACTGAGAACATTTCACGTCAGCACTGTGGTCTGTGCAAGCCGGATGCGGAATTCATATCGACCAGCCATCGGTGGGATTTGTACCCGGTACACCTCATTGGAAGGCGAACGCTCTATACACTGAGCCATTATGGCTCAATGAACCTGAATTGACTAATATTTCTGATGACTCAAATTATTTGTTGTGTTCAAATAATATTATGTGTACACAAGATTAGTCAAATTCAATTTAATTTGCTAGCAAATCACATTTTTGTTGATTTTTCTCTATTAATTTAATTATAGTTAAATATGTAAATTACTAATAACAATTTTAGATTTTAATGTTTTCAAATTATTCTTTTTTTTCTTCCTGACATGTGCTGATTTTATCTAGTTATTGAAAAAAATTATTCTTACCCCCTCCAAAAANCCAAAAAAAAAAAAAAAAAAGGAGTTCTTGTGGTGGTAGTAAAAAAAGCATCAAAACTACAATAATGGGGAAAAATCGCAGAATTGTTCAGTTTATTAATTTTTGCTATTTTCATTACTCATTGTTTCTATGTTGTTTTTATTTTATTTGCAGTTTTTGTGTTTTTAAATTCAGTGTTAGTCAGTTGATATGAATTCAGTGCTGTATCAAGGATCGATAATTTCAAATTTAATTTTTTGAAAGACAAAATAAAATTGCATTGGTGTAATAGCATATTCTCTTCAGGCTTATGATTAACCCTCTCACCATTAGTCATGGCTTTTTTTAACTAAGCTGCAAAAAAAGGGTTAACTTATTATTCATAGAAAAGTGTGTTATTGGAAAATTTCACAACAGCTTTGTCCCAGGCTTAACTGCTTAGAGGGTTAATTAAGTTTCACAAATTGTTTTAGGCAAATATTGTGATGGGAATTATAAGACAGTTGCAAAAATTATTTTGTTCCTTCCATAGTTAGTTTATCACTCGGAATTAATGGTCTATTATTCCTTGATTAATGATCCTGTGCAGGGATCAGGGAACTGGCCTTGCACCAGAAAGATTCTGGGTTCAAATCCCAGACAAGGCATGGATTTTATTTCATTCTCTCTACTATCTGTCCTTACTGTGGGAGCAACGTTGACCCACCTAATACGGTGCCTCTGAAAGAGTGACCAACAAATCTGCCCTTCAGATGCCTGTATGATGTAGGTCATTATCCAGGTGGGCATTGGAAGAAAAAAAGATCAAAAATTAATTCATGAAGAAATCATAAACATAGTCTCATAAATGAGGAATAATCTATTTACTTCTAATAAGCTAAAGTGTTATTTTATTTCTAGGCTCATTAATACAGGGGGAAAAAATTAATAAATTTAAATATAAAGAGAGGACTATTGAATTTTTAAAGAAAAAAAAGTTTATCATTTCAGTTTATTTAATCAAATTTGAAATGTATTTTTTGAAATATTTACTTATTAGTTTGAATATATATTTTGAATTTCTAGTTTGGTTAATAAGCAAGACATTTCTGGAGCAGTTGATGAAACAGAAATTGTTAGGCGTCTAGACTTAGAAGCTTTGGTAAACGAACAGAAATGTCCTACTCGTGTTGTAAGTTGATTTTATTTTATTCATACTTTGTGTGCTGAATTATTTAGAAGTTCAAAACTATTTTTAATCAACTTTAATGTGAAATTATCATATTAAACTTTTCATATAACTCTTAACTTTTATTAAAATTTTTCACTACTTGGTATAGATAAATTCTTTAAATCTTGATTCTTAAAAAAACAGGAAGCTTCTTGTGCTATTTATGAAGATGCTGAATCTAAAATCAAAGATCCTGGCATCCAAGAAGGGTTTAGTTGGTTAATTGGGCTCATTAGTAGAGATTTTAATGAGCTACATCAGCGAGTACAAGAAGAAGTCGATGAACAAAAAAAGATGGAAGAAATTGAACAAGCTGAACGAATGAAAAGGGTGCAAAGGATACGTGAAGAACGGTAATAATTTAATTTAGAATAATCATTCAATAATTTTTGTATTTTTTTGAAATAGTTTTGCAAAGTTGTAAGTAATATAATTATTTAATACACAGCAAGAATTTTTATATTTTACAGGCTTTGTTTTCACTATATGAGGATTTTGGGGCAATCACCAAAGTACTTTTGGTTAAAAAAAACTCCAAAATTTTGAAGTAGACAATAAGATATATGTGCGATTATGAAATTCTAGAAAGTTTTAAAATACCTTTCCAGAAACAATAAATAACAATTTAATGTAAAAATGTGGCTCATGATTGCATTGCTCCAGGCCCTTTATTAAAGAGAGTAATTTTGATTTTGTTTTTCTATTAAACATTAGTTTAAGATTTATCATCTTATAAAGAAAATTTATATAATTGTTTTATTTTAAACAATGATTTCAATTTATGCTGATTAAATCTATCATCTTATATTTTGTTTGAACAGTATGAAGCTAATCAATAAAAAGAGGACAAATAACTGTAGATATTTTAGCAATGTAAATAATTAGAAATGTAAGTTAAACGAGAGGGAAAAAAGAACCAAAGTACTGGTTTTTAACCATTTTGTTTTGTGTACTGTTATTTAACACTGAAAATCGGGGTTAAAAATTTAAATATTTGCAATTTTAAATATTTGTTTAAAATTATTGAATAATATTGAAAAACTCAATTAATTAATTCTCTATTTATTAAAATTAACTATGTATGAATCACAATATTCATAAATAAACTTTTGATAGTTTCATGTCCTCCAACTTGTTCAGAATTTCCTTTGTTTTAGAAAATAATTTTTCAAGTGATGAAAAAGGTTAAGTATTAATATTTTAATAAATCAGGATTAAAAATTTATTTTTGTCCACCACTACCTGTAAATAATTTAATTAGATATATTAAAGATCATATAAAAAACAAGTTTATGCTCAAAAGTCTCGATAAAGGTTTTTTTAAAGAGTTTTATTAGTTTTAAAGATTTGAATTTTTGTTTGCCATTGCTGATAAATATATTATGCCTGAGACTTAAATGTTGGAGGTTATATTTTTCTTTCTTTTATAACTTATCTAAGCAAAATATATTGGAATTGCAAAATAAATCAATATTTGATATGTGGTTCTTGTTAGGTAGTGCGGATAAGCTTTGTTGTATTTTAATATATATTTTTTTATTATTGCAGCCGAGAAAGTTTTGTTTTCCTTATTTTCTAAGCAATTTTTAAACTTTTTGTATCCTAAAGAGACAATTACAAACCTTATCAAAATTACCTTTAATTTATTTTGTGTTAAAATTTATATTTTTTGTTCCATCAAAATGAACAGTGCTTAATGTGCATTTTTGTTGATTTATTTAATAATTGCTATCTAACTACCACCTTAACTACCACTGTATATTTTTATCTAAAATTTTATAAATTTTCATTTTAAAATATTTAATGATTAGATGAAATAATATTTTAAGTAATTTTTTTTGTACCACTCATTTTTTTATTCTATGATATTTTCAAGTCCATTCATCTTCTAAGTTTTTTTAATACTGTAACACTTGCTTATAACGAGTGCTTGTAAAAAATGGGTGCGAGAAAAATCTTGAAAGTCATACATTCGTACCAGATTACATATAAATGTAGTACTTTATTTACTTTTTATTTCTGTATGGGGGAAAAGAAGCTAGTTAATTTGTTATGGACTCTCTTATCATCTCTTAGTTTTGTTATTCAGGCAGGAAATTCTTTTGACTTTTGAAATTTCCGACTTTTTGGAAAGAAAATAAAAAGTGCTATGCTAAATATCTGCTTTTTCTTAATATCTCTACATTATTTTATTGTTTTACTTTATTATTTTTCTCTTTCATCATGATATATGATGGTTGTATAAATATTTAAGTGTTTTCTTTTTGTTCAAAATAGTTTCACATACTTTTTTATTTTATTTTTTCATGATTTTAGTTGATAGGTATTTTCAGACTCTTTGTTGTGTTACCATACTCATATTTGGTTATTTTGTTTAGGATAAAACTCATTACCCAAAAAACATCATCAATACCAAAAAGGTAATAAAGGTTAAGCAGAAATTTTATGAATCATAAAAATATTCTGGCTGTAATCAAGGTTCGTTTGTTAAAAGCGAGCTATGTTCCAATAGACTTAAATTTGTACCAATTAAGTATTTATGATTTTTTTGTTAAATCTGGATTGTCATTAAACCAAGGTTTGTTATAAGCAAGCTTAACTGCTATTTTAATTTTGTAAGTTTGCAATATATGTCTTTATTTCACAAATTATGCACTTATTTTTGTTGCTATTTCTTTTTTTTGTGTGGTTAAAATAGAGAAAGACAAGCTGAAGCTGCTGCATTATCGGAAGAACAATCTAATGAATGTAATGATGATGATGATGATGATGTTATCATTGGAAATCCTTTTAAGCCATGTGATGTAATTAAGGTATGGTATTTACTATCACACAAATAAAAAATATTTGAATTCTTATTTCGTTCTCAATTCAATGCAACTTATTCATTGGAACCTTGTTTTAAAATTGAAAGTAATTTATTAAACATTTTCCATTATGTTTCATAAGAAATAACTGAAATTAAATTTCTGATCAATAATTTATATAAAATTTTAAATTATTTACAATTACAGTCTGATTTTGGTTGTTTTTAATGTAAAATGTGTTTTATTTTAGTAAATATTTTTAGAGAAAAAATAATATTGATTTTAATGAAATACAATGGATAACTGATTATAGATGTTCCATTAATGGTTTTATTGATTGAACTGTACTTAGCAGCTACAGGGACCATTAGCTGAAATTAGATGTCCCTAACAACCATATAATCCGCCAATAAACTGCGTTCAACTATTTTGATTATTTTTGCTCTTACTGTTGCTCATACACAGTACTGTTGCTCGTTTTTTCAGTACACTGACTTGATCTAACTTTTGTACTAGAGATCATAGTCAGAGAGAGAAGAACAAAAAGGTTTCGCAAAAGTAATCTAGTTCGACACAGTTTATTTAAACTACAGTATAACCGCGAATATCCAGACTGCTTAAGGATTTGTATGGTCCAGATTTTGCTAAATTGTGAATTCCTAATTGTGGTTCCTATATTTTATTTATACATATCGGAATGTCAAAGTTACAAACCCAAACTTATAAAAAATATAGGTTCAATTCCATCATAAGTAGATGTGGTTTTTTGTTTTGTTTTTTGGTAGTTCCTTTTTGTAGTAATTTTCCACATAGCTTTAAAAATCTCAATGTTTCAGTACGATGTTAGGAAACATAAATTACGTGGCTTGCTGCTGAGTTATTTTCTTCTATTCTGTCGATTTGCTCTGATTAAATCATAGGTCTTGTCACTCCTGTTTTTGACAGTTATAGCAAGTTTTTTCATGGTTTTTGTAATCATGATATTTTAGATAAACATGGAATTTAGAATTGCTCATTTAAGTATTAACTTTTTGACACTCTCAATTTCATAGTAAACTTATGTGATCTTATCGATCATTTTTTCCAGCAGTAATTGCTACAGAATTTTAATAATATTAATTTTTTTTAATAGTTAATAGTATTACAACAAGCGAATTTGAGTAATCACTTTTTGATTCTATCAATTCACGACTTTTTAATCTTGAATTAACATGTTTTTTTTTTTGAAAATTTTTTTTCTGCAATTATTGCTTGGAATTTCCACGTAGTTTTTAAAATCGATTATTTTCCCATCTTGCTTTTCATTAAAAATTGATAAAATTTGTCCTTATTTTAGAAGTTTGTATTATTTAAGTTACAGTATGTGTGTACATATAAATTTATTTTTTAAAAATATATTTTATATTTACTATTGATTTTAAGGCTGAACTGGAGGAAAGAGATAGAAAAAAAGCATCCGAAACATCAACTCCTCTTGTTAAGGTGATTCATGTGAGTCCGACAAATAGTGTTGAAGCTAGTAATCGGGAAGAAGTTATACTTCAAGCACAACCACTAAATAAACATATGCTGAGTTCGCAAATGAATGGCCAATTTTCTAACCACGCTTTTATTACTGAAACTTCAAATGGGAATTTATCTTCTGTTCTCTTATATGAAGATGAGGGTAAGAAAATAGGTTTTCTTCTTTTTTTTTANTTACAGTAATTTTCCACATAGTTTTAAAAATCTCAATGTTTCAGTACGATGTTAGGAAACATAAATTATGTGGCTTGCTGCTGAGTTATTTTCTTCTATTCTGTCGATTTGCGCTGATTAAATCATAGGTCTTGTCACTCTTGTTTTTGACAGTAATAACAAATTTTTTCATGGTTTTTGTAATCACGATATTTTAGATAAGCATGTAATTTAGAATTGCTCATTTTAGTAATAACTTTTTGACACTCTCAATTTCATAGTAAACTTATGTGATCTTATATAATTTTTTCTGGCAGTAATTGTTACAGAATTTTAATAATATTGAATTTTTTAATAGCATGATAGTATTACGACAAGCGAATTTGAGTAATCACTTTTTAATACTATCAATTCACGACTTTTTAATCTTAAATTAACATGTTTTTTTTTAATGATTTTTTCTGCATTTATTGCTTGGAATTTCTACATAGTTTTTAAAATCGATTATTTTCTTTACACTAGTACTAAGACATATGAATTTTCCCATCTTACCTTTCATTAAAAATTGATAAAATTTGTCCTTATTTTAAAAGTTTGTATTATTTAAGTTACAGTATGTGTGTACATATAAATTTATTTTTTAAAAATATATTTTATATTTACTATTGATTTTAAGGCTGAACTGGAGGAAAGAGATAGAAAAAAAGCATCCGAAACATCAACTCCTCTTGTTAAGGTGATTCATGTGAGTCCGACAAATAGTGTTGAAGCTAGTAATCGGGAAGAAGTTATACTTCAAGCACAACCACTAAATAAACATATGCTGAGTTCGCAAATGAATGGCCAATTTTCTAACCACGCTTTTATTACTGAAACTTCAAATGGGAATTTATCTTCTGTTCTCTTATATGAAGATGAGGGTAAGAAAATAGGTTTTTTTCTTCTTTTTTTTTTAAAAATGAGGGAAGAAGTTATACTTCAAGCTGTTATATATTAATTTTCAGCACATTAAAAAAAAAAAAAAAAATCGAGACATCGCAGACCAATATTTGAATTGTAAATGAGTATTTTAATTTCTTTTAATATTTTTAATCTGTTTTGTAACATTGGATGGTGGCTGGGTGGCATGTAAGCGAATTTCCCTTTTGTAAGTCTAGAAATCCCTTTGCAAATGATAATTCCCTAGCAGGCAGTAAATGGCTAAAGAGGAGTGACACAACGGTACGAGAACTTATCAGTGAATGCCAGATGGTGCTGTTCCCCCCCCTGTTTTCGAATTTTCAACGCGGATCGTGTGGTCAGTCAGTAGAATTTCTTCTTTTCAGATAGCTGAATATCTCTTTTAGGTCAGAGCGCTTTGGCTTAAAAATGGTCTATCAACTTTTCTGGATCCAGGCAGCCGATAAGTACAATTTTGTTTAACCGAACTTTAAATTTAATTTTTTTTATTGTTTAGCAAAGCACCTTAAAGTAATTAATATAAATTATTATAATCGTATAATATAACTTAAACTATGTTCATAAAATAATAATTACTCCGTTCATTTAAAACCATGTGCGGGATAATTCTTTGTTTAACCCAGCCAAATTTTGTTCACATACTTAATGGTTTCAAAAAATAATTTGTCAAAATAGTTAAAAATATTTTATAGTAGGTGTAGGACCGAAACTTTGAATATCTAATGTATTCTAATTATTGATTTAAGTAGAATTTGTTTGTGTATGTATTTTTTACATATAGTCAAGATTTTTCTGTTTTAATACATTTTTATTTAAAATATTAATTAGTCTTTCACTATTGACTATGTTTCATACTATTTTTTTAACTATGAATAAACGATAGTTCACGTGCAGCCCGGTATCCTAAACCTCAAGGATTATTTATAATTCCTCTAAATAAATCTTTATTTTATTAGATTGCGTAGAGCAGATTAATTTATAATTAATTCTAATCCAAATTGCAACATGGGTAAACCGATTAATATTGTTAATTGATCTTGAGGCAAGTGACAAGCTTGCATGAGCACGTCGGAGAATGGTAATTGATATTAAGCGTAAGAAATGAAACGATTATTTTTTTAATGTTAAATCCCAACGTAATATATTTCAATATTAAGTTGTTTTCATAAATTTTGTTACATTTACACGCAACACAACTTATACTTTTAGTAAGTGGTTATTCCAATTACTATACGATCTAATTTATATCATTATTTTTATTAAATGATTAGTGATAATGGCAAAATATTCCAAAATACATTAAATGTTAGTTTAAAATGAACCATACATTAGAACAACAAAATCAAATTATAACCAAGCACAACCACTGAGTAAGCATATGCTGAGTTTGCAAATGAATGGCCAATATTCTAACCACACTTTTATTACTGAAACTTAAAATGGGAATTAATCTTCTGTTCTCTCATATAAAGAGAAGGGTAAGAAAATAGTTTTTCTTCTTCTTTTTTTTTTTTTTTAAAAAGGGAAGAAGTTATACTTCAGGCACAATACTACTCTTATTAACTTCTTTATTCTGTTTTTAAGTTATGTTTACTTTTTTAAATACTTTAATCATTTGTAAAATATACAGAACCCGTTATCCGGAAATTAGAAAACCGGAAAACCAAAAAAACCGGAATGAAATTCGATAAATTTTCCCGCCATTTAAAAAAAAAATTATTTTTTTTTCCTCATAAGATTTTAGGATTTTTCTTTTGAAAGATACCTTACCATCATTTTGAAAATAATCATTAGTGTATTAATTCATCGTTTTTTCTTCTTTTTAAGGTTATTTCCAAATATATATATTTTTTTAGTTGGGTTTAACAATAAAAAAACGGCTTTTTGTAGCAATTCAGAAAACCGGAGAAATCAGTTATCCGGAATAGCGATGGTCCCGATCGTTCCGGATAATCGGTTCCCTACTGTAGAATGAAAAAAATACATTAATATATTTTTTTAAGAATGTAATAATAATCACGTAATTTACAACAACATGCAAGTTATATTTAATTAAATATATTTTAATATTTCATCAGAATAAACTAGTGGTAGATTTAATTTTGAAAATGCAATTCTATTGAAAGTCTTTGTTTGGAATCCTGAAGAGTTTCTCTTCTAATTGCATAAATATTATATGTATTCAATTTTTTTTTAAATCATAGAGCAGTTACGACCATTTATAACTAAAATGTATTTAAAAGTAAAAACCAGTTTTATTTGACTTTATCTAAAGGCTTAATTATTGAGAAATCATATGAAATAAAGATTTCTTTAGATATTAGACAATTTCCTTAAATGGTTGCTCCACCTATTTTAAGGTATCCTTAATATAACATGTACGTTGGATATTTCTCACATTTCGAATGTATCAATTTATCCTTTCATCAATTTATTAAGTTATTTTTAAAAGATGCAAGTAGAGTCCATATCTCTTTGAAAAGAAGTTTATTTTTTACATATTATGGAAGTTTTTTATGTATAAGTTTGCAATTTATGCATAAATAAACTGTTTGAAAGAAAATATTGGTAGGCAATGCAAATTATATACTTTTTTTAAAAAAAACCCTACTTTTTTAAAGCTGAAAAAAAATAGGAAAAGTAAGTAACGGTTCAAAACCTTAACCAATATTTATTCAAGATCAAAATCCAGTTAAGACCATTTATAATTTAAAGGCGTTTAAAAGTAAAAACCAGTTTTTTAAAAATTATTTAATAGCTCCTTTATTGAGAAATCATATAAAGTAAAGCTTGCTTAAGACAATGTTGTTAAATTTTTGCTCCACTTGTTGCATCTCTTAAAATAACGTGCAAGTTAAATATTTCTTACAATTTGAATGTATAATTTTATCTTCTCATTACTTAATACGTTGTTTATTAAGTTATTATTAAAGGGGTGGGAAGCACCGTATCTTTTCTAAAGGTCACACTTGTTAAAAAGTTAGAAGTTTTTCTGAAAGTTTTTATTTTTGCATATTTTATGAAAGCATGTGTTTGTAAATTATGTTTAAATATGTAAACTATTAAAAAAAAAGTATTTGTAGACACTGTAAATTATAATTTGTTAAAAAATTTTTTCAGATGCTAAGAAAAAAAGTAGGAAGAGCAAGAAACGATTCAAAAACAGGATTGTTCCTGAAATCTCAGAGTCGAGCAATTTAAGTCACATATCCAGATTAGGAGATCTTCCACCTCTGAGGTCAAGTATAGATGGTGGCCTGAAGGGACAACCTTGCATTTACACATCTCCCAAGAGAAATATGCATCAAAATGGTAAAATCATTTTATCAAAATGATGCACCATTAAAGCAAATACTTTTGATAACTTTTTAATTACCATGAAATCACCACTGTTGGTTTGTTCATATGATTTTATTTTTGCTCAATATCTAATATATCTAATTCTCTTACGTGGCTTCCAAATTTTGGCTGTATTTCTTTTCTGCCAGTGGCAGACGTGCCAACTCTCCCGCATTTTGCGGGAGTCTCCCGAATTTTGAGTTATTCTCCCGCCCTCCGGAATTGATTTGAAAAACTCCCGAATTTTACTGCGATCGACGGCCAAACTCAAAATTACCTAATTTTTCCGCGAGTGCGAAGGTAAGTTTTTCTTTCAGCTTGAATTCCATCCCCTCTTATCAAACTACCATCTGCCTGAAGCGTAGCTGAACATGCTTTATTTTCCCCCCTCTTCAACGTTACCTCTAAAAACACTCCTATTTCACCCGCCCCCTTACACTGGGGGCGGGTGAAATCTTCCTCTTCTTTCGTGTGGAGTTGAATGCAATGACGTCACATGTCGTTATCGAGTGACGTCCGTTCAGGAGTGGGGAAACTCGTACTCTCGATAGTTGGAATTGATATTGTATCTTGCTGTTTTTATAGTTTTTAATGCGTATTTTTCCACGGTTGGCAACAAGCTCGTAAACTAGCAACGTGATATCAATTATTCGTTTAGTCTTCGTATATTTAAAAAAAAAAAATTTCAAGGATGTCTTAAGTCGAAACGGAAGTATGGATCAATTTCAACAAATCATGTACCAATGACTTTAGCAAGACTTAATTGNAGCTTGGTTTGCGAAGCAAACCATATAAGATTGCATAGCAATTTTCGGGGGTTGGCGAGCGTTAGCGAGCAGGGGCACAGCCCACTAGTACTTCAATATTCAAATGAATAATTCAAGTAAAATAACTAAGCAGAGATGAAGTGAGAAACTTTTTGTGAGCATAAAAACCCCATTAAAAACATCTGCAAATAATTTATGGATTCTATCTACTAATTACCAACCTTCTTAATCAGTTTTTCATATTGACATATTTTTCTTTTAGCTTAGCTATTTTTCAGTTGTGAGTTGTCTCTAAAAAACAACATATTTCTGGCTTACCATAAAAAAGACTCATTGAATCAAACCATTCTGTTGGTGAAAAGAAAAATTATTTTACTTTTTTTTTTTAATGAATAGCACTAAAAAAGTTTTTTGAAACAATGTTTAATTTTTTTGAAAATTCTGAAATAATTACTATTTATATCAACATATTATTTTGAAGTAGTGTTTCAGATAAAAGAGAAGCATGAGAATCAAATTTAACCTACAGTTTTAGTCAGCCATAAGAACACTCACAATAATTTTTGCAAACTAGCTTTTGCAATAAGTAATGATAAAAAATTTTCAACATAGAAGAACAGAATTCCAACATTTGTGTATATTTTTCCTGTCTAACTATTAATTTATTCATGGTGCGTAGTGTTTTTAAAAAGTGCTGAAAGGGGCTTATTTTTGTTTTTTAAAAGCCCTTAAAGGTACTTTTTTATTGGGTGTTTTTAAAAAATGATTTATATTCTCTTTTTGAAAATGAGATTTTTTTTCTTTACCTTATCAATTTTCACTACGTATTATGCCAAAGCATGGTTTTCTCATTGTTTTACTCAACGTTTTCACAATTCATTGAGAACAATGCATTTCTTTGTATCGACGGTCCGTAGCGTATGAAAGCGCTAATAATTTTTTACATGTTTGATGAAATACTTGTGGTTCCGCATGTGGTATACTGAGCTGGGTTCTGTGAGATTCTTGCACTCTCATGTGCTACTCAGCTGCATTTTGCAGGATATTCTTAAGTTTAGGCTTTATTTTCCACCGTCTAAAATCGAACAGAAAAATCTTTCGATCTCTTTATGGTGGCTAATATAATCAAGAAAAGAGTTCTTTGTCAGACACTAGTCATATCATGATTATGTAAAGTCTTTGAAAATTATTTTGCATTTTGTTAATGTATAAAGTGCTTTAAAATATTTTTATATGCTTAAAAAGTATTTAAAATGTGCTTTTTTTGTTGAAAGATTTGGCTATTCACCTTGTTATTTTTATGGTAAATTAAAAATTTTTTTTTATTACCTTTATAGGTAAAATAAATTGGGCAGTGGTTGATGAGTTGGAACCGTGCAAAGAAACTTCATTGGCTGGCTCAAAACGAGTGGAAGCTTGGTCAGAAGAACGGCATTAAGTTATGTTGTTTTGTAATCAAATTACAAAGTCGATGTTTTGTTTGTCATTAGGTTTTTTAAAAAACCATATAACATTTTATATTCATTGTATATACTAGTCAATTATAGCTTTAGCTGCATATTTTATACGGTATTTGTTTAGATTCAGTTTCTTATTCTCACAAAAAATTTTCACTTGTTTATGTTATTCATCAAAGATATGAACAAATTATATTTAAATTCACATATCAATTTTTAAATACATTTCATTATTCATTTAATGTGTGATTTTTTTAAAAATTATTAGTATTTTTTAATTATAGTTTTTTACCTTGTTGGAAGCATGCAGATTTTATTTTGTATTTGCATTACAATTAGTAATTTTTTATAAATTATGAGTGACATATCAATTTTAAAAAACAAATCAGCATTTGTATAATTTTTTTTAGTTAATAAAACTAATCTTCGTTTTCTAATTTATTTTCTTAACTACTGGTATGCAGATTTCATTTTATATTTATGTTAGTCATTTTCTACTTAATTTTTAAAAAAAAAATATCTTATTGATTTATGCAGTATGCAGACATTTTTTTAATTACATCCACATTACTTAATAGGTTTTTTTTTCACGATTCAATACTTTTTGGAATTTATTTCATAAACTAAAGCCTCTATATATGCTTGTATGTTATGGCTCATTTAAGGTTGCTCAATTACTTAGCTGTAATAATTTATTTTGTTACAAAATTTTCAATTTTATTGTTCGAACTCATTTTTACGATTATGATTTTACAATCATATTTATAGTTAAAATTTTTTTTTCTTAGCTAACTTGTTGAATTGATATTTTATACATGTGAATTTTTTAAATATAGTTCGATAGAGAGTGCAGTCATGGTGCTTTTTGTATTACAACTATTTTTATGAATCATTTTTAAAATACTATTCATATGCATATTCACATTTACATATTGATAACTGCACATACACAAGATTTATCTTATGCTAGTCTTGATGATGATCTGAAATATTTGATGATTAATGTCATGTTTTATTTTTAAATTCATTGGACAACAATTAAATCAGGATGTTTTTACAGTTTTATGTATCATTCCTCACATCCCTGTTCATAAGATTTGAAGTAACTGTGCATGCTTATCTGAAGCACACTACGTGACAAACCTACATGAACAAAATAAAGAGATTTTGCAAAAACCTGTAAGTTTAAAATTCTGACATAATGAGTGGAAATAAATCCCCAAATGAATGGTAATTTACTTCAGTTTTGTTATACCAATAGGAAAATTATGAACTAATTATTTCTAAAGCTGAACGATTTTGCGATGTATTTATCCTCTGATCAAATTTCGTCCCATCACTAGAGAGAATTATGCAACATTGTTCTAATGTTATTTTTAATGATTTGCATGTAAACAAAAAAATATTTATGAATTAATAAAAAAAACTATACTTTTTAGGGCCGAATAATATTACATGGATGAAAATTAGACGTTAGTTTCTGCACATAGTAGTGATTAAAACAATAAATGATTTAACATCTTATTTTTGTTCATGTTATTTAAACTACTATATTATTGTTGACATGTTATTTAAAAATTTTTTTTTTTAAGGTGATATATTTTTTTACCCATAAAAATATCAATAAAAGTGTTATGTGAATATTTTATTGAAAAAGGAGCTTTATCAAAATAATTCCGTATGATTAGGCAATTTTGATTTACTTGTACACTATTAAAAATAGCACTAAATTAAAAAAAAAAATGCATGAATGTTTTAATATTTATATATATATATAATTAATAACTATGTATTTATTAATTTTTTAGTTGTATTTAAATAAGTGTCACAAATTAGCATAATAATTAAGTAATTATATGACAAATACTAAACCTCAAAATAATTTCACAAATTTTTTTCTTTTTACTAAGCAATTTTCTTGCTGGTAGAAAGAGTTCATTTGTGTCTTTTATCAATATTTTTCAATAGTTATTAACAACAGTGTATTGTGCTAATGTTTTCAACGGAGTGGTTATAGCCTTAGAATGCTGACCTAGCCCATACAAAGTAAAAGTACAACTCAGAAGCGAAAAAAAAAGAAGAAAAGACGAGCATGTGCAGTTACTTCAAGATTTTCTTCGGAAATGGGACAAAAACTACAACATCTCCCTATTGTCTTGTTTTAGCTAAGAGCTATTTGCCAAAGTATTTATTGTGGCATAGTAATTATTGGATTAAATTGATTGTCTCAATAGTTTCAACGAATATTTAAAAGTGATGTGTTTTGTTATGAAAGTATTTCAATATTATTTTCATTTGAGATAAAACTTAATCTTTAAACATAATTCAAAATGTTTTAACCATGTTCTATTAATTATAAAATTATTACAATTACTGTATTGTTTTAAAATTAATATGTAGCTTTTTTTCCTAATATTTATTCATGCATTCATTAATGATTTTGTACAGATTATTAAGTTTTGTGGAACAGGGCTATTCGAAAGCTAAATTAAAGAGACAATTTATTTTAATGCTTGAAATAAAATATTTATGTCATTGTTATTTGGGCTAAAGGACTTAGTTGGTGCAAAGAATTTGAAAAATGAACGTTTTTAGTACAAAATGCATTAAAAGTTCAAATACCTTAAAATTCCTTATGTTTAAACATCAAAGATATAAATAAGCACTCATTAAACGAGATTAAATACAACAGAAAGGCACAAATTGTCATTAATCTTTTATGACATGCCATTTTATTTTTAATATGAACCAATGCTTTTGATATTTATGTAACATCAAATAATATTTATCTAACAATTTATTACAAAATATAAATAAGCTGATTATTTATATTTTGTAACAGAATTGAGATACAAAGGCATTTTAAATTTTAAAAATTTTGTATGATGTGCTATAATATTTCTTAATCTTTCAATGAAAATATTATAACTATATGAATAGTGCGCGAAATGAAAAATGGAACATTTTAATAACTGATTGTCATGTATTAAGATGAAATCCTAATGGTGCAAAGAATTGAATTTAAATATATGCACACATGCATTGATGCAAACAATATTTTAAGTTAGCATAACAAAATCACATATCTTTATTGAATAAATTTAGCTTCTTTTTGATGAATTTTTACTTGACCCTCAAAATATGCGGGTGGGGTCATAAAGTCGCAATTCGGAAAAAATAGTTCTAATATTTTAGACCAGAGATCAATCATAAGTTTGTGCTCCTTAATGTTGATTTTGTTTTTGGTATAATTCGTTATTATACCCCTACTAGCAAATAAAAAAAAATTTTGAGCACATTCATAAAATTCATTTACTCAAAGATAATTCTACATAGAAAATTATAATTTTTTTTTAATAATTTATTTATTTTAACATTGTTCAAAAAATTTTTTTGTGTATATAGTATACTCATTGAAACATCATTTTTAAAACTGTTATTTTAAATGATAAAGTCTAAAATTTTGTTATAGTATTTTTCTTCTTCTTTTCTCTCTTTTTTTTTAATAATAATAGTTTCTGAAAATAGTTTTTTATGTCAGAAATTTAATTATATGGCTATTCAAAGTAATATACTTTAAAATAATTCACAAATTTGCAACCTTACAATTTTAAAAGCTGAATTAATCATCTTCATTGAATCAATTTAATTATGTGCAAACATTTTTTGATTTTCTTAAATAGCTTCAAAAATGTGATGAAATACACCAAAAAGTGATATTAACTATAACCTAAACTTTCGTCTGTTCTTCTGCCAAACTATTAGCATAATATTTTCCAGATTGCATATTTTGAGTTTCAAGAGTACAAATCCATTGTAAAATGCATGTTTATTCAGAGGAAGTATGTTTTCGCACATAAAAATATTTCTTGCACATGTAAGATAGCATACAGTTGGACCTCTATTTAACCAAGTCGCTAAATCCCAATAAGTTCGTTATATGGAAAATTCGTTAAATAGAAAATTACCTTTTGAAATACTTAACACAAAACAGGTTTTAAATTCATAAACACTAGACGTAATTAAAATAGCAATTGCAACACCTTTTTCTCATAAACTAGTAACTTCTATTTATTGTATAAATTCTTAACCACAAAAAAATATGCATGGAAAGCAAGAATAGAGCAAAACATCATCCAGTGTTACACTATCATGCTACATGCATTTTTAACTAAACCTAAAGTCATGTATAAAATTATACCTGCATTTATTATAAAAGTCATTTTAAACATACATTACCACATGCGTTTTTAAGTTTAATTGCTACTGATAAAATCCATTAATTTTGTCTGAGATTTTCGTTTGAAATGCAAATAAAAAGGGAAAGGGACTTAACTTTCTCTAAAAGTTAAGTGGCTTTAAAAATCCATGCCTGGTCATTTCCCCCATGAAATGCGTTAACAAGTTTGAAATGTTCTGAAATATTTTGGGAAATAGGGAGAGTGGATCTCAAGGAAAAGTTACTTAAATGGAAAATTCACTTCGCTATTTGGAATTTATTTTACAAAGAAATTTCCAAAGTGCTCTTGGTTCCTTGAAAAAAAAAAATCGAAAAATGGTAGTTTGTTAAATAGAAGTCCAACTGTATTTACTTTTAGTTTTTGAAACTATTAAGATTAGATTTTAGTTTTTGAAAATTAGACCTTTAGATCAAATGTTATCAAGATGTTCTATTACCCATCACTTTTTCTGTTATATTTACTAATCTATTATAGATAAATGTACTTAAATGTAATTTTATGATAAAAATCAATATTTAAGTACCTGGTTGTTTACAAAAGAGTTGAAATTGTATTTACCATCGATTTGTGGATAATTGGTAAGCTTTACCCCAGTTCCAGTTACTAACATCAACATCATTTTCACTGAAAGCTATAAGACATACTATTTTCTGATAAATTTAGCACTAAGTGTCTTCAAAAAATATATCAACATGTGAATTTTGAAATGTGCAATAGTCATGATAAAGTGCCTCTTTATATTGTTTTTACAGTGTTATTTATTACTGACTTAGCATTGATGAGTAATAAGAACGAAAAGCAATGTTTGTGAGGTTGAAACATGACCAATTTTAATCTTTCTGCAATTTTGTAAATTTAAAATGTAATTATATGTAAATATGCATTTTTTTTTATCACAATGCTCTGCTTTTAGGGGTATCAGTATTACTAGTCATTATATATTTTGCATCAGTGTTTTTTATATTCTTCTAAATGTAACTTACTAGTCAGCCAGCATTGTTTTTAAAAGTATATGTACTTTTAATTCCCCTTTATATTATTCTCTCAAAGTCGAAGTATTAAATACATGGAAATATATTTCTGTTATGAAACATGTATTTTGTTAAGTTTGATTTATAAGAAGTCCATTTTTAATTTGATTAATTTAAACTCTTGGGCTGATGAGGTAGGGGTGTCACGCCTCCAAAACTTATGATATTGTCTACCATATAAACAAAAGTTCTCCAAATATTCTGGTCCCTAGCTAATGGATAAACATACCCTTTAGCATTTGATGCTTTTGAAATGTATTTTTTTTTCAAGTGATAACGAATTAAAGCAATTTTTTTTAAAAAAAAACCAATAGCATTTTAAGAACTGTCATTTGAATTTAATATCATGTTCACTTATCTAATTGATCATTTACATTTCTATTTAAAATTTATTTATGATTGACGAAGTTCATTTAATTCTTATTTAAAGTATTGCCTTTTTTTGCACCAAATAAGATGTTTTTTAAAACTGTAGTATTTTATTTTAATTTTGTAGTAGTTAGTGCGTATGTGGATAAGTACTATTGTTTGTAATTAAATATTCCTGCCATTCTACTTGATTGAGGAAGTGAAGTCAATACCTATTTTTTAAACTTAGAATTAATTAGTTATGTGTTTTGATGTTGAAGACTTATCTTATAAAAATAGTAATGTTTCTTCCCTCATTTTTTATTTATAAAAACTTGTAACAGACTGTAGTCATTGTAATTCTAAATATTTCAATGTACGGTGCAAGAACTGTGACTAAATGTCAACTTATATGGTGCTGCTTTTTACTGCAATAATTTTCTTTTTAACCATGATTCTTCTACTTAGTTTTATAAATGAGTAAGTTTGTTAGGGTACATTGGTGGGTAATTTCATTGGTAAATTTTATTTGGTCGATATTAAATGAGTTTTGATTGAATTTTGAAGTTTCAGGGATATGCATGAACATTTTAAAGTACTTGTGTAAAATCCCCTCGACCTTCTTCGGCAAAACCTAGAAAAAGGCACTAACAATGAGAGACTATATACGAAATTTCTTGGTTATTCTCTTAAAGTTTTCCATTGAAATAACTTTGTTGAAAAATTTTGTTGTTGTTAAAATCTCACGATTTTATATTTTTTTAAAAAATTGTGCCACATTTTTTTTACCCCTCCCTTCTCGCTCCATGAAAATGTCGGGGTGAGGTTTCGCATCCTATTTCTCGCTCCCATGAAATTTCTAGACTAGAGTGTTCAGTAGTAACGCTCCAATAAGAATAAAACTAATTCATTTCTTTTGCCCGGAAAACATTTTATTTCTCATTTTACACACCAGATGGCAGTACCAGGATATTTCTAAGGTAATTGTAGATAGTTGGTTTATTTTAAACTAGATGGCAGCACTAATCAAATAAATGTATTTGGCAAACTAGGCACTTTTATGACCGTTTTCTTGAAAATTAACCAATCGTTAAGGGGTTAAATGTATCTATATTCTAAAACATCAATTTCAACATTTTAAAAAAAAAATTACTTTTTGTTATAAAAATAGAACTATTCTCGCAACGATCAGTTGTGAGCCAGGGTAGTCATAAAGGTAAAGGCCCCACAATTTTGTAATTGTGGCAGTTTGGCCAGCACTGTGCACATGTCTCCTTTACTTCCTAGGCAAGCTGCTACCCATTGGTCTGATGCTGGATAGGCTTAGTTCTACATAATGACAGTAAAGTGCCTTAACCACTGATTCATCGCTGCTCACTTTTTGTTATAGTTCTCATTAAATATGCATATTAAATTATTGGGTGTCGATTTGGCGGAATTTATGCCAACTATCCTGGTTGACGGAACTTTACACATGCACTTATTTTATAGCTACTAAAAGCATTTTTGACAGCAAAATTAAGNCCAGTATGTTCAAATTTATGGGATGACTTTTATAATTTTACTTGGGTGGGTTAGATTTATTAAGCTATTTTTGGAAGTATAAGGATAAGATCTTTTTGTGAGTGCCTGTGACTTCTTTGCAAAAAAATTTTTTTACATAAGTTTTTTCTTTAAAAAAACTGATAGTAGTATTAAAATGAAGCAGTTTGTTATCGAGCATTTTAATGTGTTTGTAAACAGGTTTCTATTCCTTTGCTTTAATATATCAGAATTTAAATTTTGTGGCTTTGAGTATAGTATATCTCGTTTTATAAGTTTTTATTTTTTCTATTTCTAACAGCAGCACTTACATCAGTTGCTGGATGTTGTATAAGTCGACCTCCTATTTTTGATTATGAAATAGCAAATTTCTAGTACCTCGGGTGTATAAGTCGATCGCTGAAACAAACAAATATAAAAATTTTTAAAGTTAAAAAAAAAAATAATAAAAATTAAGTCTGCAAAATTTTTTTCAAGTTAAAAGATTTCACATTTTTCTCTCTGGACACCATACATTTTCCCGGGTATAAAGATGCATAACGTTATTGTATTCTATGCTAGAGTTTTTAAATGCGTAGCTTTTTAAAAGTTTTCATTGTGTTACATAGTTTGAAATACTTTTGAATAAATTATCTAAACTTTTCTTATTTTTTTGAAATTTAATTTAACCCATTGTCGGTTCTGCACATAAAAAGTCGTATTTTAAATTGCATTGTTCTCCGCATATCAAAACTGGTTTTTCCACGCAATTAGATAGGAAAATCGTGTATTGTAGAAAAATATTCTTCCAATTTTGCCCATATTCTAAACCACTAATAGGTTAAAATGTTTCTGAAAAAAAAACCCTTTTTATGTAAAGAAAATGAATAAAAATGCAAAATTAATTGCATATAACATATTAAAAATAATTTTTGAAAAGGGTAAATTTTCGCAGTGTTAATTATATCTATTTCATAATAATATTGTTTATAATGCATCGATATTTCATGATCACCGAATGCCTGACTTTATTACGGGTGCGCAAGTTGTCACCCTATTTTTTGTAAAATTTTGGAGGTTTGAAAAGTAGACTTATACACCGATATCTAAGATAATTCAATTCCCTCAAAATTAAATTCTTTTTTAATGTGTTTATATGAATGCTCTAATTATTATATAATTTATGAAAGTCTATTCAATGACAATGAATTTATAATTTTCGAAAGTGTATTCAATAATAATGTAGGGGATCCTCTGACAAATTTTCTATCCTGAATCGTATAATTAGTTAAAATAGTGCTTTTCTGATATTTTTTTCTTTAAATGTTAAGAATTTTTCTACATTTCTGTTTAATGCACATCAGATATGCCATATCTTCTTTCCATATTTTTACGTATTTTAAACAGTTAAAATTTATAAAACATTGGAATTATTTCCTTCCACCCTTCCCCCCTCAACAGTGCACAAAAAGGCTGAATTTAAAAGCTCAGTTTTTATACCTAATTTGAATCGAATTTTTTTTTTTACTCTTATTGTCTTGCTTCAAATGATCTTAAGAATATGGTGTATAAAATATGACATGTCATTTTTAAAGAAGCATGTATCAACATAGTTTTTATTAAAAAAAAATAAATTATTTTGTTAATGGTATGAAATAAGTATTTGCAGTTTTGCATTCTTTGATGATGCAATTTGTTACTTACTTATAATAAGCAGTTAATTGTATGAATCTTGTTTTTATCAATAAAAAAATATTTGTAAGATTTTGTTGTGATTATTTTTAAATTTTTTCAGGGGAACTACTTTTATTTGGATTAATTAAAAACCAGAATCAATTCAAATATTTGGATATCTAAATAATTGATTAGAATATTATTTAAAAAAAATTAAAATAGTATTTGGTTTAATGACTACAAACACTATGTTATTGAGATTTCGGAAATCCTAAACTAGTTTTGAACACTGTTTAGTTTTGAAAAATTTAAGATAAAAGGATTTGAACCAACTACTTTGAATTCAGTATTATATATTATATTTAATATATTTTAGGTAACATAGATGAATTATAATAAATTTAATAAAAGTTTTAATTAGCGTGTTAATTTTGTTCTATAGTTAATTGTTAATTTTTTGGTTATGCTTAAATGAAAACTTTTACTAAATCTGGGTAGATGAACNGTTCGGTTGACCACCTAACCGGAACATCTGCTCCTGCACCCCAGAGCCCAAAGGTCAAGAAAACTGAGATGGGCACAGTAGGACTTGGCCCTTTATGGGCTGTCGCGCCGCTGAGTTTAGTTTAGTTAAATGAAAACTTTTACTAAATCTGGGTAGATGAACAGAATAATTTTAGACAATTGACTGAAGGGCTTTTGACAGTTTTGAACTGGATGGGTATTTTCCATTGTATTTTGAACCTGGTTAACCCTTATCTCTTTACTTGAGTCCACTATATTTCTAGCGTAACAAGACACAATCATTGGTAGATAAATAAATCAATAAACTTCAATTAATGCAAGAAATACTTTAAAAAATAAACCACATATTTAAAGTGACCTGGTAGAGATAAACTGGAGACACATTGTTGAACATTTTATAGAAGTCTATTGCTTTTATATACATGGAAATGATTCTGACATTAATTCATTAAGTACATCTGGTTTGCAAAATAATATAATCTCAAACATCTATGTGGCATGAACTGTTCCAGCGATTGAATACTTTATCCAATTCTAACACTTTAACCAATTCTAATGTTGCCACTATTGTTAAGTATTCCCGATAGGGTCTACTTAGTTCTTGAATCCCTACTGGTTTGAATATTATTGGTTGGAATAATCTCAAACATCTATGGGGCATGGACTAATCCAACCATTGAACACTTTGTCCAATTCTACGGCTGCTGCTATTGTTAAATGATCCTGGTAGGGTCTACTTATAGCTTGGATACCTATTGGCATACCTTTACTTAAACCAGTTGGTATTTGAGTCGATGGAAATCCTAAAATACAGAATATGCTGGTATATCCTATATTTTTATATTTAGCGATTGTCATAAGATAATGTGGTGGTCTTTCTGGATGAGTTGGCAAGAAGAAAATTGCATCCCCCTGCAGAAGCTCTAGAAACTTTTGTTCCAGATTTTTGTACATTTCGAGGCATTTGTAATAAAATGAATCTTTCTTCCTCCTGTCGCATGCTGCAAAACATAGTGCTGGCAACGTGTGATCCGAGGTCCCCAGTATGTTCTTGACCAACTCCTTGCATATGTTAATGTTGCCTTGCTCTCCAGCTAACATGAATTTGAAAGGTGGAAAACCTGATTCCAGTAATTTACATTCCCAAATAGGAAACGCATATTTCATTTCTTCCATGCTGATTTTTACGGCTATGACATTGTATTCTTCTTCGAAATATCTGACGGCCTGAAATTGAAAGTAAATACTTGTGTGTATATACTTGTGTAAATATTTGTGTTACACGCATTTTTGATATTTTGTTTTGTCTATTCCTGCTATTTTTTCCATTTCAGTATTTGCTCATTAATGTTAAAATTAAAAATACTTTTCTCAAGAACACTGAAACGGAGGGGGAAATTCGATTTTTGTCGCACCTGAAACACAAAATATCAAACGAAAGGCCCAAGAAGAATTTTCGGATGCGATAAAAGTTTTATTACAAAAAATGTGACAAAAATAGAAATATTTTCCCCATTTCAGTACATTTAAAAACGTAGTTTTAATTTTTCTCAATGATTATTTTCCCCCCTCCAGTTTTTTGTTAATCAGTTTGTTTAAGTCGGAAAGTGGTCAGAATTTTTAAAGCAGAGATAATTTTTGATTGAAACATTTAGGAAACACTCGTAATTTGTATTGTTATTAGGTTCAGATCAATTGGAATTTGAGCACTTTAACTAGTTGGATAGTGGTCAAAATTCTATTTGCAGATAATTTCTGCTTGAAGTGGTTAAAAAACGATTTGAACTTGTATTCTCAATAAGTATTAAGTTCTAGTTTAGGTTTGATACAGCGAGTGAAAAAGTGGTTGAAATTTTAATGAACTAGAAAATCTCCTGAATTTATTATATAATTTTCCTGAATTATGATGGATATGATTTCCTGAATTATCATATGATTTTTTTGTCATTATAAGTTTATTATAAATTTCTAAACGTATGTAAGAAGCAGCCAAATGAAAACTGAACGGGGACAACGTGACAATGGAATTTGTTTCATTCAAATGTAATAGCCAAATGTGTTTATATATTTATCTCACTGGGGAACGAGACATAACTTGCCCAGTCTTGTAGATAAAAGTAGATCGCTGACAGATTCACAACTGTACCAACTCTTGCAATCTAATAAACGACAAATGCCTTTCTTAAACAAAAAAAAAACAAAACAAAAAAAGTGGAAGTCCCCAGGGAGAAGATTTGGATTGTACGGAGGATGATGAAGTGTTTTCTGGCAAAATCTCAAGATTATTTCTCCAGATAGGTATTATGGGAACGGGACTTATCATGCAAAAGAATGAATCCACTCGGCAGCATTTAAAGGCTTTTTGATTTTATAGTGCTTGATGTGCCATCTTTTCGGAATCTGTTCTGCAACTTGCTCACTCTTATTAAGGATATGCAGTGTCCCTCATCTGCAGTAGACAATCGATAAATTTCTTTCGTTCCCGTAAACTCAGTTGCAATGAAAGTAACTACACATCTCTGTTCTTTGACAGCTTCCATTTCCAATGCTAAATAATTATAGTTTTCACCACGTTCCCACCTCTTCAGAGCAATTATGAAACAGATATGTAGACCTGTGCATTTTCACCATGCATTTCTTTTACCATTAGAAATGCTGGAATGATATGTAACATCAGTGTTGCCATTTTAGACGAAGAATTTATTTAATAGTAGGTGTTCTGTTTTCATTTGACTTCATCACAATAATAACTGTGCCTTAGAAGCATTTTATTGTTAAATTTTGAGGTTTATAAATCGAAACCTTACTTTTTTAATAGCAGCTCTAATGTCAGGAATTGCTCCTAATAAGGGGCCAGGGATTTCTTCCATATAATAAATCTTCACTTGTCGGAAATCAATCTAAAAATTAGAACATAACTGTACTCAATTTGTGGGCAATAATAAATTAAATGAAAAAAAAAATCAATTTTACTTTCCTCACGTATTATGTTCACGTAAATATATCCTTGCGTAAAATACAGGGCCTGATGTGTATATAGCCATATTTTAAGGATAACAGAACTGAAAACTATCTCAGGAATTTATACCGCGATAAAATATTAAGGCGATAAGCGCGTGCCGTTTCCCAAAATTTCAAGAATGTAAAATCCGTAGTTAAAAATATACAAAGTATTATATTAAGTGATTCAAAAAGTTCTGCAACCAGAAGTGTTTTAACAACCTAAAATCAGGAACATTATCTAACATTCTTTCAACGCACTCGCGAATTTTTTCGTGAAATAAGTTTTTGAACGGATATCTTATGAGTACTTACTTTTTTATCCCATGGGACAAGTTTATTATTGTCTGCCAATATCCTCGTTAACAATAGTAGGTCTTCAACATAACGACACATTGGTCCTGTGCTGACAAGTCGGTCATATTTTTTATAATCTGGAAGTTCAGGGCATCCAACCTCATTTGGTATAATACCTAAATGAATAAGAATAAATACCAAGTTTAAGAACAATAGGATCTTTTTGGGATCGAGTTCTTTCGACACTTATTTTTTTTTATGTACATATTATCCTGTTGAATAAGCCGATCAATACGGAGTAATAATCGCACAAGCAAATCTTCAATGTTGTGTAATCTAAACAACTTTCTGTAGCGATTTCACAATTTGATTGACCTTAAAACTCCAAAATATTAAACACAGCTTACCTTTCTTTTTTGAAAATATCCTCATATATATATATATATTGTTCCCTATTATGAAAGAGAAAAACAAAAGGAATTCCTTTTCTTTTAAAAAATCACTGTGAAGTTGCAGAAGTTATGTAGCATATTATTTGTACATAAAGGCTTATTTGAACTACTGCGTTCTATTTATCATATTCTATTTATATCTACCCACCAGTAACGTGCTTTTTATTATCGGGGGCAAAAATTGTTCTGCTTGACACACTCTAACTATATTGCAGATTTGTGGTTTTATATCGCCTCGATTGATAATAATTTTTGTTATTCAACAGAATCTTGATAGCAAAACGTGTTATCAAGATTATTTCTTATGGAGCACCGGTTCCATAAAAATTACTGCCATGCTAAACACGCGTCTAGGTCAACCACATGCGGTTGACTTAGATGCATGTGAGGATATTAAGAAACTACATGTAAAACGAATTGCTCATCAAAGGGCGATTGCATATGTGAATCGCATGCAGGGAGAGTGCTCTATTTCTGTTGGAACGATGCTTATTGCAGTTATATGATCTATAAAGCCTCCAAACTTAAAACTTTGAATTGCAGTTTCAAAATCAAGACAGAAATTAACGTACCTCCCATTCCTATGGCTATCTATACGCTAATTAGGCTGTTCCCACACTGATAAAGTCCTTGGACGCAAGAGGCATTCGGGAGATGATTTTTATTGCGTGGCCTGTCTTATGTTGAAAACATGACAGCTGTTGGTATAAGTAAAGAACTCTGCTTATAAACGTCATCTATAGGTCATCGCAATATATGTTATATGGTAACGTTTCTTCTGAATGAGATAAAATGGCAGAATTTCTTTATCACTTCAAAACATTTATATTACAGCGTTAAATATACCTTTCTTGTAAACACTTGAAGTTTGCACGAACTTCGAGACATGAATTTCCTACATTACGTGTCACAATTACGAATTTTGTTTTTTCTGTCACTTGAGTCTCCCTCGAGGAAATTATTGCCAAGACAAAAGAAGTGCCCATATCATATTTTCCCACGTAATTGCAGTTACATTTTATTTCTTAGTGTCGAAAGGAATACTTTAAGAAATAAAGTAAAAAATCACTTTTGTGAAGACTTTTGTAAAATACAATACCTTGGAAGCTTTTTAAATCTATATGTTTGATGATTTTAGGAAATATTACCAGCAGAAGGTTTATGGCCATAGATTCCGCAGAATGAGGAAGGGATTCTAATGCTGCCAGCAATATCATTGCCAATGCCGATGGTAGCTCCCGCAGAAGTTATCAAGGCCCCTTCGCCTCCTAAAATAATAAGAAGGAGTATATTCAAGCGTAAACTGTAAAGAAATGGTAGCAACTACTTACCACCAAAATGGAAATACTATATACTATATCCACTATACTAAAATTGTTCTATTACGCTACTTAGTGTAAAGTAGCCGCCACCATTTTCTTTTGCATTCAGTAGCACTAAATATTATAATTGCAGTAAATAAGATACACATAAAAATCAGTAAATGTATTATTATGATACAATATAAAGTAATAATCATTAATTTAGTATACATTAACTTTGAAAATAAAATTAGTTTGTAAATCAAACATATGAGTAGTAAATCGAAGTATTGCATAATATAAAGACAAACTCGAACTATGCTTAACAGAACGAAAGCTAATGGAAATTATATATGTAAAATCATTTCACTGTCGCAGATCTATTCGGCTAGAAGTCTCAAGTAAAGGTCATGAGCCGGCGTTGTTGCCCTTTTGAGGTCTTGACCATGTCAGTGGACCTCTGTTCCTGTCTTTGTGAACTGTTTCTACAATGTGGATACCACATATACATTTCTCAAAACACCAAGGTCCCTACAGCAGGCACCATGTGATTGGTCAGCCTCGAGTCTTAAGTTATCCGCTATCTTGTGGTATCGTCTATACGAAGACGACTGGCAATACCGACGGGTAAATAAAGAAATTAAAAAAGAAGAAGAATTGGGATGAACTACGAATAGAAAATATATTTACGTTACAATACTATACAAACGCTATACTTAATATTAACGCTATACACTATACAAAAGCGATCACAGTTCCCACTGCCTTAAGACCATACGGGCCAGTGCGTGGCAGAAGAAGAGCGAGTCTGCGAAGAGCTTAATTATCATCTGATATCTTATTTGCGTACATGTGTAACTTATTTTGCTCTTTAAAAAAATCCTTTTCCCCCTTTAATTGTTTTTACCAGTAATGAGTTATATTTCCTATCCTATTGGCTTTCTGAAAGCGTGTTTAAGGTTTCACTAAATTTTACTGAAATACCAACTTAAAATTTCAATTGAAATTGTATTTTCCAACCACTAAAAAATAACAACTTTGCAATGGGAAAAAGTTGGAGGGTATGCTGCTCAATTTCAGTAACAAATGTAGAATTTAATATTATTAATATATTTGAGTTAATGATGTTAACGTTCCTATTTTTCAATATAAAAGCTAAATGAAATAATTGAGATACCAGTCTTAAACATTTTGAAGAAGAGAAACGTTTCAAAAATGGAGCATTGTTGTTATTAATCGGTTGATATTAATTTGTTTTCGTTCACAATTTTGAGTGAAGTTACTTTTATCGATTCAAATTCTACAGAAAGATATTTTAGGCATAAATCTATACAAAATGTTTTTTTCCCACTAAAATATTAATTTTTAAGCAATCTTCTTTTTAACAGCAAATGTTTAGGAAGGTTTTACATGGCGAAATTGTTATCACAATTTAAAATATCATACTTGAAGGTTTTATAAATGGTGTCATTTTTACTCATGCAAAATTTGTGTCGACCAAAATGAGCGTCGGAAGTTTGAGGCTTTTTTTCCCCTTTTTTAACTCCTTCCTTCTCGTTCCCGTGAAAATGACGGGATGAGGTTTCGCCCTCTATTTCTCGCTCCCGTGAGTTCAGTAGTAACGAGCCAATAAGAATAAAACTAGTTCATTTCTTTTGGTCGGAAAATATTTTATCTCTCATTTTACACACCAGATGGCAGTACCAGGATATTTTTAAGGTAATTGTATGCTGTAGTTAGTTTATTTTAAACTAGATGTCAGCACTAATCAAATAAGTGTATTTGGCAAAATAGGCACTTTTATGACAGTTTTCTTGAAAATTAACCTATCGTTAAGGGGTTAATAAACTATAATACTAAAAACATTTTTACATAAATATCACAGTATTTCAGAATGATTTCAAAATTGCAAATATTAAAGCTGAAAAGAAGCTAATAACTTCCTCTCCTCTATTTGACAGATCTGAATTTTGCATGAGTAAAAATGACATCATTTCTAAATCCTTTAAGCATGATCTTTTAAATTGTGTCAACAGTTTTGCTATGCTAATTCTCGCGAAACAACTGCCGCTAAAATTGTTTACATAGAGTTAGTATAGAAGGATTCGTATTATTTTGTCACCCATCAATGCAAAGATGCTTACCCGAGCTGCCACCGGCAGTTCTTGCATTATCATATGGATTTTTAGTCATTCCAAATACATGATTGGCACTCTCCCACCACATGCAGTATTCTGGGACATTTGTGACTGTAAGAGGAATGGCACCAGCTTTCCTGTATAGTGCTGCTGTTTTAGAATCTCGTTCAGCTTTTCTATCCTTAAAACACATCGCACCGAAAGTGATCAACAAACCTACATCCGAGATAAATCATTTAGTTTAAAGCAAGTACTTTTTTTCACACAAAATATAATGAAAAATTGGTTTGAATACAATAAATACAAAATATACTTTTTAGTTTTTCAGCATATCATGGATGTTTAGAGTATTCAAACTCGTTTCTTTAAGATTTTTATCAATAATGTCTAAAATATACTGTTATTCACATTTTTAAGCTTCAAAGTGGTTCCGCATGAGCCATCCTGAGCAGTTACGAGTATCTGTGCCGTGGATTGATTTACACAATTATTTTAAAGAACATGTTTGCATAAAAGTGGAGGGCTGTGAAACGGTACTGCTTTATCTTTTTAAACACGTCTCACCTCTCCAGCAGACTACCTTTAGTCTATTGAAAGAAATCTCTTCCTTCTTTTCTCACCACAAAGTCTATTTTATGCCCAGGGGTGTTCTTTCTACAGACAAACTATATTTCCGTTTCATGCAGTGGGCATATGCAAATCTGGCTTACAGGGTGGCTAAGGGTCTGGAAAAATTTGAAGAGGCGATAAATGTCTTATGAGGTTATCGTAAATTTTATAGGCTTTAATTTCACATCAATTTTCGGAATCATTTGTAACACAGATAATTACTTTGCAAATATTTTTAGTTGATAGTAATTTTTAAAAAAAGGTTTAGTTCCTCAATCTTTTCTGGAATGTGGCTACTATTTATTCTCTCTAATTTACAGTTACCACTTAGGCAGTGTAATAGAAAACTTTTCACAGTTCGGGATTGAAAATTCACGGCCAAAACTTTGCCAATCCAAAGCAATATGTGAATAAAGCTTTGCTGATCCTACAAAACCTATACAAAACTTAACTGGTCTAAAACTTCGCCAACTTAAAACTTCTAAATTAACATTGAACATTTTTTTCATTATTTTTAAATAAAAATAATAAAATGTAAGATAATATTTATTTAATATTTTTATTACTATTAATTTATTAAAAATCATTATATTATTAATAATAATTTAATCAATTAATTAATTAATAATTTTATTTTATTAAAATTAAATTAGTTGTGAATTTAAAGCTTTAAAACATTTACTTTTCAAAATTAACATAACGCTTTCTCTTAAAATTAAACATTTTGTTAAAATAGCAACATTAAGCAATAAATTAATTATGCGTTGGAAGTTATTAAAATTCGATAAAGCATGAAATATTTTGATTAAAATTATTACGTAAATTAATTATTCAAAAGGAAATTTTCTTACAAATAAAACGAAAAAATTAAGCTTGTAACATTAAGCTTTTTTTTTTCTAATTTTTCTTACTAAAATTACAAAATATAAAAAAAAAAAAAAAACATTT